ACAGAACGGTAATCACACACACGACAAAACGAAATGAGATTAGCAGAAACAACCATGCGCTGCACGTGACAAAAACACCAGAACGCCGCTGACCTGAGCAGTGGCGATGCACGAGCACGTTGCCTGATGTGTTGGCAGGCTGTAATCAGCTTCAATGCTATTATAACTATGCTGTTATGAAACAATTGAAGTAACTCTGATAGTTCAGACACAAAAAAATTATGCTGGTCTGAATTTTCAGACTAAAAAAAATAGGTAACTCTGACAGCCAGACTAGGAAGAGGGGTGTACTCTGAGGCGTCAGACTACCTCAAAACGAATCTAGGGGCCTGCTTGGAGGGTTATCCAAGGCGTAGGGATCGTCCGCAACAGCCGGATCATGAGAAACTACAGCAGGTGGTGGCAGCGGTGCTGCTTCTGCTGCATCATCAGCAGATACAGCAGCAGCCGTATCAGCATCTGCTGTAGCAAAGGCTCCACAGAGCCAGCTTTGAGCTCTTGCTGATCCACACCCCCCTTGAGGTCAGCTGCAGCATCCGGAGCAGCACCATTAGCACCAGCGACATCAGCAGCAGTAGACACAGCAGCAGCCGTATCAGCACCTGTTGCATCATCAGCAGCAGCCACACCATCCGTATCAGCACCTGCTTCAGGAAAAACTGCGTGCTCTTGCTGACCCCGCAACGTCCTTGGGATCAGCTGCAGCATCAGGAGTAGCATCGGGAGCAGCATCGGGAGCAGCTTCGGGGGCAGCATCGGGAGCAGCATCGGGGTAGTCTCGGGAGCAGCGTTGGGGGCAGCATCAGGAGCACCATTGGAAGCAGCATCGGGAGAAGCACCGGGAGCAGCATCGGGAGCAACTTCGGGAGCAGCATCGGGAGCAGCATCGGGAGCAGCATCGGGGCAACATCGGGGCAGCATCAGGAGAATCACCAGCAGCAACAGGAGGAAGATAATCAGCAGCAGGAGCAGCAGAGCAGGAGGAGCAGGAGCAGGAGCAGGAGCAGGAGCAGGAGCAGGAGCAGGAGCAGAGCAGCAGGAGCAGGAGCAGGAGCAGGAGCAGCAGAGTCAGCAGCGGGAGCAGCAGCAGCAGGCAGCACTCGGGTTTGCCCCAAAGCAGGATGGAAGGCAGAGGCCTCCGAGGACGAGTGCAGTGGTGCAGCAGCAGTGAGGCCCACACCCAGGGGAAGCGATGCAGAGAAGAGAGGAGCAGCGCCCGGCAGGGAGTGTGGTTGTGGGAGAGCGTGTGTGGCAGCAGGGGCGATGACACACACGTCACCTGTCGCAGCAGGTGCAGCATCAGCAGTAGCAGCAGCTTCATGTGCAGCGGTAGCACCAGCAGAAGCAGCACCAGAAGCATCAGGTGAAGAGGCAGCAGCAGCACCAGCAGAAGCAGCACTGGCAGCATCAGGTGGAGCAGCAACAGCAGCATCAGGTGAAGGGCCACCAGTATCCGGAGCAGTTTCACTACTCACCACAACACCCTCCATGGGCTCAGCTGTAACAGCACCAGCAGGATCAGCTGTAGCCACACCTGTAGCATTAGCTGTAGCAGCATCTGCAGCTGCACCGCCCACGTCCATCATGTCTGTATCTCTAGAATCTAAAACCAAAGCATCCGCCACAGGCGTAACATCTGTAGCTACATGCTGAATATCAACTGGAGTGTCTGTGGCATGTGCAGTGTCAGCCTCAGCAGCAGGAGCAGCAATAGCATCAACAGGGGCAGCAACAGCAGGAGCATCAACGGGAGCAGCAGGAGCAGTGACAGCTTCAGTAGCAGCATTGGCAGGAGCTGCTGCAGATTCATCAACAGCAACGTCAGTAGGTGCTGCAGATGCATCAGCAGCATCAGCAACAGCAACAGCAACAGTCATACTTTCGGGATGTGCAGAAGCATCAGGAGCAGCAGCAGCATCATCTGTTGGAACCGCAGTAGCATCAGCAACAGCAGCATCCATGGGAGCTGCCGCCGCGGCTTCAGTGACAGTAGCAGCAGCAGCCGCACCATCAGCAGTACCATCAGAAGCAGCAGTGGCACCAGCAGCAGAAGCATCAGCAGCAGAAGCATCAGGAGCAGAGGCAGCATCAGGAGCAGAGGCAGCATCAGGAGCAGAGGCAGCATCAGGAGCAGAGGCAGCATCAGGAGCAGAGGCAGCATCAGGAGCAGAGGCAGCATCAGGAGCAGAGGCAGCATCAGGAGCAGGGGCAGCATCAGGAGCAGGGCAGCATCAGGAGCAGAGGCAGCATCTAAGCTGTCAGCCATAGCAGATGTGTCTGTATCCATCGCACCATCAGCAGCACCGTCAACAACAGCAGCTGCTGCTGCTGCGTCGGCACCATCAGCAGTGCCAACAGCAGCGGCACCTTCAGTCGCACCGGCAGTACCAACAGCCGGAGCAGACTCAGGCGCTGGTGCTGGTACTACCTCGGGGCCAGCATCAGCGGCAGGGGTAAGGGCAGAGGCAGCATCAGCGTCAGCAGCAGGGGGAGGGGCAGGGGCAGAGGCAGTGTCAGCAGCAGTGGTAGGGGCAGGGGCAGAGGAAGCCTCAGGGGCAGGGGCAGCATCAGCAGCAGGGGTAGGGGCAGCGTCAGGGGCAGGGGCAGGAGGGGAAGGAGGCGCAGGTGGGGGAGGAGGGGCGGGAGGAGCAAAGGGAGACTCAACAGCTTTCACCGCTGCAGCAGCCCAGCTAGGAATCAACCCAGCCGACGCAGCCAACCCCATCATTCTACTCCCCCCAATGCTCCCCGCAATCCCCCCCACACCAGCGCTGCTGCTCCCCCCGCGCCTGCCTGCCCCCCTCCCTCCCCGCCCTCTCCCCCTACCGCCTCCCCTTCCTCTCCTTCCCCGGGTGCCATATCCTGGACCATACCCTGGGCCAGAGTTGAGACCGTACAGTGACGGTCCGTATCCCTGATGGTAACCGCTGTGGTTGTAGCCCTCTTGCCATCTGTGACCTTCAGGACCTCCTGCAGCAATTGCACCCACCCCTGGAGTTACATGGTGTAGTCCTGGGGTTGCTCCTGATGCTGCATACATTGCTGCTGAGGCTCGTGCAGGAGCCGAAGCTGGTGGTACGGCCGAAGCTGGGTTTACTGGTGTTACAGGTGTTACAGGTGTTACAGGTGTTGCAGGTGTTACAGGCGTTACAGTGGTTCCTGCTGAGGGTGGCGGAAGAGAAGAAGGTGCATGGCCTTCTGCTTGAGTATCAGGAGCAGCAGGTGTCTCTCCTGGAACTGAGTGGGTTGCAGCTGGTGCTGCTGCTGTTGCACTGCCTGGGACGGGCGTTTGCTCTGCCGATTTCTGTGACGCATCTGCTGCTGCTGCTGCTGTTTCAGCAGCCTTGGCAGGCTGAGATTGACCATCATCACCAGCAACTGGAGTGTCAGCTGCAGAAGCAGCAGCAGCACCAGCAGCAGCAGCACCACTACCAGCAGCAGGAGCCGCGTCATTATCAGCAGCAGGGTCCCCCTGCAGTGGCAGGTGCTTCCTTGTCCCCAGCCTTCACCAGGTGAACCTCTCCCTCCAACACCTTTCTCTCCGCTCTCTGCTTGCTTCTCGCCTTCCTCCCGCGCACCTGCCACCGTCCATCCCCCTCACCAACTTCCATTTCCCCGCTACCACCAGCAGCATTTGCAGCATTGCAGCAGCAGGGCAGCAGCAGAGCCAGCAGGGACAACAGCAGCATCAGCAGCAACTGCACCCTTCCTCCCCTGAAGGGGCAACAGCAGAGGAAGCAGCGTCAGCATCGACCACAGGAGCTGCACCAGTTTCGCCAGCAGCGGTAGGCGCTGCACCTGTCTCCTCAGCAGCAGCAACACCCTCTTGTTTCTCGCCTCCTTCTGCCCTGCCTGTTCCGGGCCCTTCACACTATCATTAGCAGCGAAGTTTGCATCAGCAGCAGCACCGGCAGCAGAACCACAGTGGCAGCAGCACCAAGAGCAGGAGGCGCAGCAGCGGTAGTGGTGTCAGCAGCTGCTGGGTCAGCCACAGGAGCAGCTGTGACATCCTGTCTAGCAGTGAGTGCCTCTCCCTCTCTGAGATTCACATCACCCTCTGCTACTTCCATCCCAACCATCCCCTCCTCTGCTTTCACCTCTCCACCACTCCACACTCCCCCTTCCACTCCCCCTGCCCACCCCCCCTCCTCCTTCTCCCTTCCTGCCATCTCTGTTACCATCAAATCCAGAAGTGCGACCTCGACCTATTATGCAATGCCACGTCACCAGGCCCGACCCCAAACCTCTTCCTCTTCCTCATCCCCCCAGCACCCCCGCCCGAAGCATACTCCCAAGCCGCGGCTGCAGCTTCGGCCGCAGCTGCAGCTTCGGGCGTGGCGGATAATCCCAGCCTAGCAGGCAGGAACACCCACCGCAAATGGCACCTGCCCAGGTTACCTCCCGAGCCTGTCTCCCCTCCTCCATACCCACCTCCCCATACCCACCTCCCCATACCCACCTTCCCCCGGTATCCCCCCTCCCCCATACCCCCACCCGTAACTCGCCTCCATTCTCGCCTGCTCAGCTGCCTGCCCATCCACGATACTCAACAACTCCTGTAACTCCCGATCCTCTCGCTCCTCCCTCCCCTCCTCGTCCCCATTCTCCCCCGCCTCCCCCTCCTCCCGCCCCCATCACCCCCCATAGCACTCCCCCCAGAAGCCACCACCCCTAGAACCCCCGCTCTTCAGATGCTTGCTGCCGAAGCCCCAGCGCTGCAAGAAGCGGCAGACCCAACCCCTTGGAGTAGCGGAAGCCTGGTGCCACTCCTAGCAGAGGGCCTATGCGCTTGGCGTGGTCGAGAATCGACTGCACTGTTACCGTCCTTGCCACTGCTGGCGCTGCCGCTGCCGCTGCCACTGCTGCTGCTCCTGCTCCTTCTGCCCCCCCTTCTGCTCCTCCTCCTTCTCCACCTCCTCACCCCCTTCACCACCTGCTGCTGCTGAAGTACCAGCAGCACCCTCCTCCCCGCCTTCTCCCCCCCCGCCCCCTCCGCTCCCTCACTCCCCTTCACAACCCTCCCCTCCCTCACCACCGGCCTCGCCGCCCTCACTCCCTTTCACCCCCTCACCCGCCTCACCAGCAGCTCGGGCCAGCGCCCGTCTAACAGCCGCCGCCAGCACCTCTTCTACTTGGAGTTCATACATGACCTTACCCGGCACGACGCCGCTGCCCCCGCCTGCTGCCACCGCTCGTCATACTTCAGAATCCTCGGCACAGCCGACGGGGGGAGGTCCACTCCGTATTTCACTCTCACTGCGTCGATGATCTCCCGGCTTGTGAGCTCAGGCCGCGCTCGTTTTAAAGGCACAAACCGCCCGCTTCACCTTCACTTGCACCATCCGCCTCCTCCTGGTCCCATCCGCATCCACATCAAGTGCATCTCCTGCCCCCTCACCGCTCCCATCCCTCCGAACACCCCCGCACCGTAACCGCCGCTTCCTCTCCCCCCCGCCTTCCCCAATGTCTGTCTCGTCCCCGGTATCCTCCCCTTCAGAAGACCCGCCCTCTCCTCCTGCGCCTCCGCCCTCTCCTGCTGCTCCGCCCTCGCCCCCCTCAGCCCCTTCGCCCCACATGAGCGCAGCCCTGGCTGCCTTGCCGCCTGCCTTTTCAACCTCCGCAAGCTGCTCCTCCACCAGACGAAGGAAATTATCCTCGTCGCTGTCGGTCCCGGTAATGACAAAATCGTGAGAGGATACGATAAGGTCGCTGCCAGTGTCGTTCCCTGCCCCAGCAGCCCCAGAACCAGCACCAGCTGTAGCTCCTGCTGCCCAGTCCCAGCCCCAGCAGTGGCCCAGCAGCGGCCCCAGCAGCAGCATCAGCACCAGCAGAACCTGCTTCAGCCTCCCCTTCAGCATCAGCATCAGGTGGCATTAACGCCAGCGGACCTCCAGCTCCAGCACCCCCCAGCATCCCCAGCCAGCCGCCGCCCCGTCACCACCTCCTTCCCTCCTCGCCGCCTCCCTCTCCTCCTTCGTCTGCAGCCCCCACCGCCACAAAAAACCGCGACAGCCACCCCCCGGCTATACTTAAACCCGGCTGAACCCCCAACCCGGGACCGATCCTCTTCGCATGGTCAAATCATGTCGTCCCTGGTAACCATCCGCCTCGCCATGCTTCGCCCCCGCATCTCCTTCACCCACTCCGCTAGGGTTTCCTCTAGTGCCGCGTTCTCAGGGTCCCGCACGCGCTTGACGGCGTTCGCGTTGGTCTGGGCGCGCATCCAACGGTCACTATCTTGCAGGATCCGCGAGACCTGGTGCGTGCCTAGGGAGATGCCCGTGCTCGCGCGCCACGGCGTCTATAATCGCGGACGCGCGCAGGCGCGGCTTGGCGCGCTTCAGCACGCAGATGGCGCGCTTGAGCTTCACTGTGATGTTGCGCCGCCGCTGGGGGGGCGGCGGCGGGGGATGGGGCGCGTGGGGAGGCGCGGAAGGAGAGCTGGGCGAGGGCAGAGGACGTGTATGGGCCTTGAGAGGCAGAGAAAGTCGCTCCGGAAGGCACAAGCATGTGTGAGCCAGGCGCGTACACACCACCACCACCACCACCACCACCACCAGAGGCACCAGCAGCAGCACCAGCAGCAGCACCAGCAGCAGCGCCAGAAGCACCAGCAGGAGCCGGCGCCCGGGCTACAGATCCGTCCAGCCCCAGAAGCACTTCCTCCGCTACAGCCTGCAGCTGCCCCTCCCCAACGGACTCTCCCCCACCCCCCATTCCCCCCCCACCAGCCCCCCAACCCCAGGAGTATACTGCCCACCAGGCCCCCCAATCCCCCCAGCACTGGGAGCATACTGCGCGCCCCTAGAGGCCTGCCACAGCCGCCACAACGCTACTCCCCCACTGCAGGAATGCTGGCTGCAGCGGCCAAGATATCCTCATCTGCCAGCTCAGCAAGCAGATCCGACGGCTCAGATGCGCGGCGGGCGGCTTCCTCCAGATCTAGCTGTTTCGTCTGCGAGCTCCAGCAGGCTCCTGCTGTCGATGATGTGTGCGGCGCTGTCGGTGCCTCCCCCTCCGCCGTGCGAGGGGCCCGAGGAGGGGTCTAGGGGGTTGAAGTTGGCCTCCCTTGCTGCTTCCACTGCCTTGCGTGTGAGACCCCAGCGCCTGAGGAAGCGAGAGATCCACCCGCGGCTGTAACTGTTGGTTGCATGAAGGCACAGGGACGAGAAGGGGAAGAAACGGAACAGAAAGGAACGGATTAAACTACATGATCGCTCCAGGAGGCTCCTGCTGTATGTGATGTGTGGGGCGCTTTCAGTGGTCTCCAAGCTCCCCTCCCCTCCCCCGCCACCGCCGTGCGAGGGGGCCCGAGGAGGGGTCTAGGGGGGTTGAAAGTTGGCCTCCCTTGCTGCTTCCACCGCCTTGCGTGTGAGACCCCAGCGCCTGAGGAAGCGAGAGATCCACCCGCAGCTGTACCTGTTGGTTGCAGCCAAAGGAACGAGAAGGGGAAGAAACGCAACAGAATATACGAAATACCATTAGGAAAGGCGACCAGAAAGAAGGAAAACAGATCCTAAAGAAACGATTGACCTGATGATCCATCTCAAGTACATAACCCCTATCCGCCGCGAAAAGCACCACCAACAGGCGAACCTGAAGGATGCGGGAACGCCTAGCGACGGTCCAATGTCTTTCGCATGCTCAAAGATGCGATCGCACGTCTATTGAACGTCTCAGGACTCACCTAAAAGATGCGGGAACGCCCAGCGATGGGCCAATGTCCTTCGCATGCTCCAAGATTCGATCGCACGTCACACGGAAGTCTCCTCGCGCCTTCATATCGCGCACCCACACCGCCAGAGCCTCCTCCAGCCGCACGTTGTGCGGCTGCCTCACGCGCTTGAAGTTCGCGGGCGCGCGGCCCCACTTGTGCTCGTCGCGCAGGATGCGCGGGATCTGCGACTCTCGCACGGTGGAGTTACCGTATTTCGCGCGCAACACCTGGCAGATCCCCGCCGCCGTGATCTTCGGCCGCGCGTTCTTGAGCGCGCAGATCTCCTGCTTGATTATCAGCTCCACAGCCTGCCGGTTCTTGCTGCGGCCGCGGAGCATGATAGTCTCCTCTTCGCCTTCCGACTCGCCTCCGGATATGTCCCCTTGACCGCCGCCGCCGGCGGCCATGGTGTCTCCGTGGGTTGCAACCAAGGCGAGATCTTCGTTATGGCCACCGTGATGTGCGGCGTGATCCCCGCTGTGGTATCCCCCGTGATGGGCTGAAGCGGTTTGATGCTCTGGCATGGACGCGTGACCTTCGTGGTGCTGCTGCTGTTGCTGCTGAATAGACTCCTGAACTGGATGTTGATGCTGCTGCTGGTGGTGCTGTTGGATTTGCTGCTGATGCTGTTGCTGCTGCTGCTGCTGCACGGCCTCATGTTCCGCCATGGCTGCATGGTGGTGGTGCTGGTGTAGGTGGTGCTGGTGCATGTGTTGCATCGACGCGTGCTGGTCCTCTCCCGCGTAGTGCTGCATCGGAGGCCGTTCTTGTAGCGAATGGTGCTGTCGCATAGCCGCCGCAGCAGCGGCGTGCTCTTGTAACGCCGCGTGGTGCATCGCCGCGGCGTGTTCTTGCATCGAGGCGTGGTGCATCGCGGCGGCGTGTTCTTGTATCGAGGCGTGCTCCAACGCGGATGCAGCGGCGACAAGCACTCCCTGATTGGTCAAAACGCTTCCGTCAACGGTCACCATTCTCCCATCCGCTGTCATCACGACTTGACCATGCGGGATGCCCCCGGCAGCCATAACCCCCTGTGTAGTCACAATCGCGCCAGGATGACCGTGGGCCGCGCCCGCTAATCCTCCGCTCGTTAGCATCACCTCGCCGCCGGCATTTCCGAGCATGGCGGCGACGGCGTCGGCTTCAGCTGGAATCATGACCGTTGATTCGTCAAGAGATTGCTGTACCAATCCGGGATGCGCGAGGTGGTGATGGTGCTGCTGTTGCTGCTGCTGGTGGTGGAGATGATGGTGATGATGTTGATGATGCGCGCCGTACGGGTCCATTGCAGATGCTGGAGCCATGACCATTCCGCCTGGTGTTTGCTGCATCAAGGTCAACTCGTCGACGCCTTGCTGCTGCGCCATGGTCTAGATTACTATACGGACCGAAGAAACAAAGGGAGGAAAAAACTAGTAATTTCAGACAGAAGGTAATGATAACTAACGAGGAGGTCTGAAAAGTTTGCGTTGAACGTACTACAGCTGAAGGCTAAGGATGGAAATAATTTCTGAGGTCGAACCGCGAATCGGAGGATTCGATATTGGAAGTGAATATTTTGGGGATACACACCTCTAAGAACAGACTCACTAGTGACGCGCTACTAGTGTTGCACAAGAGGAGATTCAAGATGCAGGGGATGAGAAGGATCTGTGAAATGGTTCTTTCCCTTACCGCGTCAAGAGCTCAATCTGCTGCTCCGATATGGTGCTGTATCGCTCTTCTCTGCGCTAGCTGTTGAGGATAAGGTGGATGGAAGAAACGGAACGGAAAGGTGATGGGAAAACGGAAGGTGGGAAATGGAAGTTGGCAAAACGAGGATGAAGCAGAACGAGGGTTTCGTTGGGCAAACGGAGGAACATGATTGGTTGGAGGATTCCAGATGCTAGGGTTTCTACCTCAAACGGGTCCCCAACCAATATCGAAGACCTGTCATCGCCAGAACCAATTTTTCTGATGCGACGAAACTTTTCCTGATGGTCAGCGACGAGGGTTACACAGGTCGGGCAGAATGACAACTGGTGGGAAACACAGGAGTCTAATAACCGTCCGATAAGAAAAGAGCGGTTCGTTTGGTGCGCAGAACCGCGAGATTCGCTGTATCCGTCTTGTGGAAATGGAATCTTTTGGTGCCCGCAACCCTCCCATCCCACCAGCCAAAAGCACCCCAACATCCTTTCACCCAACAAACTTGAGTTGAGAGGCCAAGGCTTTCGACCGCAAACGAATTCCTGTCAGTATCGAAGTTGGACTTCGCGAGAGCCAATCCCCCAGCTGGGTTTGAGCGAGGAGTTACCATTTTGAATACAGAAAGACATGCTCTCTACCGTCCGATACGCCGGACCAAGAAGTGCGGTGAACCGCAAGATTGACCCAACACGCAGCTCGCCAAACAAATGTATAGAAGTATGTAGTAATCTAGTGTATTCTGATTTTCGCCTGCTGGAGTGTAGCTCGTCAGAACACAATTGTTCATCTGTCGGAGGAGAGCTCGTCAGAGCCTGCTCATTTCCCGCGGTGCTCTTGCAACATTGACCTCGCTTTCCTCCTAACGTTCTACAAATGAAATATTTGAAAGTTGTTCCTGCCTTCAGTAGTTAGCCTTCACATCTCCCCGTTCAGCTTCTGTTCCGTATTGGCGTCGCTCTGCCAAAGTTGCTGGTGTCCATGTTGCGTTTAACTCTCCCGTCGTCGAAACTACTCATACAGCAAAAGGAATAGTTATGGCTCAGCAGAACTCTAACACCTTTCATTTCTTTGGTTCGTCAGTCCCCACTGCTCCGTCCACCCAAACCGGCGCGTTTCAGCAGCCGGCTCTTACCGCTTATCAGCAGCAGCAGACTCAAACCTCTTATCAGCAGCAACCGGCGCAAACCGCTTATCAGCAACAGCCGGCTCAAACCGCTTATCAGCAGCAGCCGGCCCAAACCACTTATCAGGTCTCGCCGTCTCTTAACGCGTATCAAGTCCAGCAGCAAGCGATTCTAAACGCTGGTCCGCTGCTCACGCCGGAACCGCCGCCGCAGCCCAAACTGTCGGCTCGCTCCTACCTGTCACAGGATTGGTACAGCCAGCAGCCGAATTTTACGCAAGTTCTCAGGCTGCGGACGGCGGCGGCGGCGGACACGTGGCACAGAATCAGACCCTGAATCAAGCCGCCGCCACGTGGTACGATTCGGCAGGGTTAAGCGGTGGTGCTACTGCTTCGACTGCAGCAGCTGTTACTGATTACAACGCCCAGGGGGTGTTTGGTGGAAATGAATCCACACGCGCGGCTCAGTACCAGTCCAGGCAGGTGGAGCCTGTGCGACAGTCGCAAGCCGTGCGACAGCAAGCGACTACCGTGCGACAAACGACGGCTGGGCAACGGCAGCAGCGAGCGCACGCGGAACGGCAGTTGCAGGTGGAAGGACGAGTGCTGCCCGTGCGACAAGTGCAGCAGCCTGAACGACAAACGCAAGCGGCGCGACATGCGACACAGGCGGAGGAACAGTCGCAGAGGCAGGCCCTGCGGCAGGGTCAGCGACAGGAGCAGCGGCAGGAGCAGCGGCAGGAGCAGCCTGTGCGACAGACGCAGCGAGAGTGGTGGCTGGATGCGCTAGAGGGGCAAGTTGCAAGTGCGAATGTTGCCAGTGCGAATTTTGCGAGCGCGAATGTTGCGAGTCAGGAGCAATCTCATACCCAAGAGTGGAATCGCACCATTGCTGCTGTAGTTAACGCTCACACCCACGTGGAGAGTTTCGACCAGGGGAGTTTGCTGCCGGTGGGTGGTGGTAGTAACGCTGGTTACAACAGCGATACTGTAACGACAGCCGGGCTGCAGGGTTACCATGGGTACGAGGCTGCTGCTACTGCTGCGACTGCTGCTGCTGTTGCGCCGGCAGTGGTTACCACAGCAGCTGTTACAACGCCTGCGAGTCTCGCATACCAGCAAGCCCAGGGGCATGCTCAAGGGGGAGGTTACGATTCGGGGGTAGTGGCAGGGGGGGGGTCACGGTCAGGGTTATGGAGCTGGGCAGGGTTATCAGCAGACGAATCAGCAGGGGCAGGTTTACGGACAAGCACAGGGTTACCACCAGACTGCAGAGTATGGTGATCAGGAGTATGGCCAGCAGCAGCAGCAGCAGCGTCAGAGTATGAGTATTCGCGCTCCTGCAGCCACGGCTACAGCTGCTGCTACAGTTGTTGCGAGTACTGTTCCTGCTACAGTCGCTACTACAGCTGCTGCTGGTGCTACAGATGTTGCGACCGGGGCTGGAAGGCAGGGAACGGGCGCGGGGAGAGGGGTGGCGAGGGGGAGGCGCGCGGGGGGTGGGGCAGGGGGGCAGGGAAGGGGGAAGGGGTCCCGGCAAGGGCGACGGGCAGCAGTAGGGGCAGCAGCAGTAGGAGCTAGGGGACAAGAAGCAGCAGCAGCGTCAGATGGGAGGGCAGGAGGAGAAGAGCTGCAGGTAGTGAGACTGCAGGAGCAGGCAGTTGCTGTTCCAGACCCTGTGCAGGCGATAATGGGGGGTGTTTCTGCACTTCAGATTCCTCTTCAAGAGGTGGGTGGACAGGAGGCGGTTGGGGGCGAAGTTGGGGGGGATGGTGATATGTCTGCGATCTACGCTGCTGGGTATGCTGCAGGACTGGCAGCCGCCCGGGCTGCTGCTGCCAGAGCAGCAGGCGCTGCCGCTGCTGGTGCTGCTGCTGGTGTTGCGGATGGGGTTGGAGCAGAGGGGGGAGTGGCGGTGGGGGGAGAAGCAGGGGGCATGGAGGGGGGGCTTGGTGTAGGGGGTTTCGATCTTGATGCCACAGGCTTTGCAGATGGCGAGATGGGGATGGGTGGTGGGATGGAGGGAGAAGAGTATGGAGCTGAGGCGGTGCCAGCAGGAGGGGAAGGAGAGGAAGGAGGGGAAACAGGAGGATTTGGAGGAGGGGAAGAGGAAATGTTGCCAGCAGGAGCAGGAGGAGGAGAAGCAGGTGCGGCTGCCCCTGGGCCAGGCACAGCAGCGGCAGCCGCAGCAATAGCAGCAGCAGAAGCAGCAGCGGCGGCGGCAGCAGCAACAGACGGGTCGGATACCGACGTGGATGGGGAGTTCCGGCCGGTGCGACTGAGGGACCCTGAGAGAAAACGCCGCCATTTCATCCCAGTGACGCTAAAGGCCGAGATTTGTGAGCTTCGGCGCGACCGGCCGGGAATCACACTAGTGAAGATTGTTCAAGTGCTTAAAACGAAGTATCCGGGGATCAGGATTTACTCGACTCGGGTGGCGGATATTATTCAGAAGCCGCATAAGTGGGCGGCGATGCTGGGCGGGAAAGGGCACAACCGAACCAACCAGCCGCCGGACCAGTCTGGTATGGAGGGAGCCTTGGCGCGGTGGTTCGGGGAGGAGCAGCAGAGGGTCGGTGGTGTGCCGAGCGAGCAGGTGATTGAGAAGGCCAAGGAGCTGGGGTATTCTTTCGGGTTTCCCCCAACTTTCAAGTACACAAGGGCGTGGGTGTACCGCGTGTTGTCGCACTTGGGATTTTCCCAGGAGGCTATAGATGCGGCGTGTGAGGACTACCCTAACGAGGATGACTCTGCTGGGCCTTCCTTGATTGAGTTAGCGGATCAGATGTTTGGGCAGGAGCTGTTTAAGTCCCGGGCGAACCAGAAGGGACGGAAGCCCAGAGACTGGTGGGCGGAGAACCTGCTGGGAGGAAGTCGGGGACTGGGACAGGGAGAGGGAGGGGGAGGGGGAGAGGGGCGGGGAGGGGCGATGGGGGGGTTTTGGGGGAAGGGGCGGAGTGGGAGCAGCAGCAGCAGCAGCAGCAGCAGCGGCAGCAGGGGGATGTGTATGGGCAGGTTGGGGGAGGGATGCATGGGCAGGAGCTAGGAGGAGGGGGATATGCGCAGCAAGGGGGGTATGCACAGGGAACTGGACAGGGGTACGGGCAGGAGATAGGGCAGGGACACGGGCAGATGACAGGGCAGGCGAACGGGCAGGGCCAGGGGTACGGGCAGGGGACAGGGCAGGGGTATGGGCAGGAGAGTGGTTTGGGGTATGGGCAGGAAGGGGGGCAGGCGAGAGTGGGAGAGGGGGATCAAGATGATGTTATCCCAGGTGACTTGTTTGAGGAGCTGGAGGGAGGAGAGATGGTGGTGGTTCGGACAGCTGACAGTGTTGCTGGTGATGGTGGTGATGGTGGTGGTGGTGGTGCCGGGGGTGCCGGGGGTGCTGGTCCTTCTTCCAACCAGCCTCTCGACTCGGCCGCTTTTGCAGCGAGCTCCTTGAACGAATCAGCCCCATTCACTGCTGCAAACAGCATGATCGGAGGAACCGCCAACACTGCAAACACTACAAACACTGCCAACTCGCTAGACTATGGGGATGACGGTGAAGACTCGGAGGGTTACCAGCCCGATCCGAAGCTAGTAGAGCTCGCCATGGCTGAAGCCAGAGCTGCGGCGGAGGCTCGGAGGGTGATCACCGAGGCTGACCTCGCAAATGCGGCGCAGATCGAGGTTCTGCCCCGGAATCCGATCACGGGCAGGGTGATTAGTAAAGAGGAGCTGCAGACTAACCCGGTATATACGGAATATTACCGGCTTCTGGAGGAGCAGAAGGAGTTTAAGGAAAAGAACAAGAAAATCACAACGTGTGTGCGAACCATCAAGATGCGAAAGGCAATCTGTCTACTCAAGGAAGCTCGTCCGTCTCTCACAAACCAAGAGATCATCCACATTATACTGGAGTCCTGCGGTCCTGTGATTGCAGCGAGTATTTCCCCTGCAGCCCTCCGGTATACCCTCCGCAAGAGCTACCAGTACTTGAACGCCGACCTGAACAAGCCGAAAAAGCCTGTCCCGAGGCGGGTTGAGTTCCCGGAATTCGAAGAGGCACTCGCGGCGTGGGTACGGGAGATGCGGGCGAAGTATGGGAAGGAGAATTTGCTGTACGAGGATATTCTGGCATATGCGCAGAAGCTGGCTCCGAGTTTCGGGATCGCGGAAAAGAATCCCAAGTTCAAGTTCCACATGTCGTGGATTCTGAACTTTGCGGGGAGGCACGGGTTGAAGTGGCGAACGAAAGAGGACCTGCGTGCGAACCGCAAGGGTGGTGGTGCGACTGGGGATGGTGGTGCTGGTGGTGGTGGTGGTGGTGGTGATGGTGGCGGTGGTGGTGGTGGTGGTGGTGATGGTGCTGGAAGGAGCAGTGGGAGAGGGAGAGGAGGGAATACGTCTGGGGTAGGAGAGAGTGATGGTACAGAGAGTGACAATGGCGGGCGGGAGGGGTACGGTGAGGGCGGCGGGACAACGGACGGTGGCGATGGGATCACAACGGACGGTGGAGAGGGGAACACCACGGATGGGGGAGGAGAAGGGACGGACGTGGAAGGGGAAGGGGAGGGGGAAGGGGTAGGGGAAGGGGGTGGGTTTCTAGGCATGGATGTGAATATGCATCTAGGGAATATAGTGACAGGGCTGGTGCGAAAGCAACGGGATGAGAAGACGGTGAGGCGGAACAAGATTTGGAACACTGCAGCTGATAAGCTTCTGAAGGTGGTGGCTCAGTTTGTGGCGGAAAGGGAGGCACGGGTGCGGAGAGGGGAGGAGGAGGAGGGAGAGGGGGACGAGCGGTGGGACGGGGAAATGGGAGTTGAAGGGTTGTTAAAGAAGAGGTGGAAGAGGAAGAAGACCGGGCGGCCGAGGAGGAGGGTAGGGGTTGTAGGGGCGGGTAGTGGTGGAGCAAAGACGGCGGCGCAGGGCACTGGGAAGAAGAGAGGAAGGAAGAAGAAGCAGAGCGGGGAAGCGGATGGGGGCGCGGGAGGAGGAGGGGATGGAGGTGGCGGGGAGGGTGGTGGGGAGGGTGGTGGGGAAAGCGGCAGGGAAACTGGACTGGAGAGTGGAAGGGAGAGTGGGAGGGAGAGTGGGAGGGAGAGTGGGAGGGAGGGAGGGAAGAAGAAGCAGCAGCGCAAGCAGTACCAGGAGGTGCTGGTGACGTGGAAGCTTGCCCTCATCTCCCTCGCCCGCGCCAGGCAGGACCTTCCGCACTCTGCTGTCAAACGGGCCGTTCAAGCCAGGTATGCCTTGAGACGCCGCCTGCCACGCGTTGCTGGCAAACGGGCCGTCCAAGCCAGGGATTCTTGAAACAACTGCCAGACGCTGCTGTCAAATGGGCCGTTCAAGCCAGGTGCGTCTTGAATCACCTGCTGGCGCTGCCGTCAAACGGGCCGTTCGCAGGTATGCCTTGAAACGCCTGCCACGCGTTGCTGTCAAACGTGTCCATTCGAGTCCGGTACGTCTTGATACACCTGCCACACTCTGCTGTCAAACGGGCCGTTCAAGGCAGGTACATCTTGAATGAACGGTGATAGCAGACCTGTTGGGCGGGGAGAGGTAAAGGTCAGGTGGCAGGCAGTGTTAATGCTCCTCCTCCGCACCACCACTCTTCCCCCCACCCCACCTTTACCACTGCCGTCCCCTCTGCCCTCCCCTTTTGTGTGGTGCAGATCCGGCGTTGATACAAGCTGCACGGTGATAGCAGATTACATGGCGCGGACAAGGTGCGGTGTCAGGCGCAGGTGATGCTCTCCTCTCCCTTTGCCACTAATGTCCCCTCTGCTCTCCCCTTTTGTGTGGTGCAGGTACGGCGTCGATACAAGCCGCACGGGAGAACAAGGTGCGGTGGCAGGCGCAGGTGATGCGAATTTCACCCCTCATGCTCTCCCTACCGTGCTTCCTCTTCTCCCCCTTTGTTGCCCAGGTACGGTGTCGATACAAGCCGCACAGTCAAGGTGCGGACTATATGGCGCGGGAGGTCAAGGTGCAGTGGCAGGAGGCGGAGCAGAGGTGAAACTCGTCCCTCCCCCACTCTTCCCCCCACCTTCCCCCTCCGTTTCCAGGTATGGCGTGGACACAAGCCGCACAGTCATCGCGGACTAAATGTCACGGGGGGACAAGGTGCGGTGACACTCGTCTCTCTCCCACGTCTCTCATCCCCCTCTCACCGCCCTCCTGTTGTCTCCTGTTCTGCCTGTCATGGCTCTCTGTCCTGTGCAGGTATGGCGTGGACACAAGTCGCACAGTCATCGCGGACTACATGGCGCGGGAGGACAAGGTGCGGTGGCAGGCAAAAGTAATGAGAGACGCGTACAGGGAGGGGCGTGAAGTGCTGCCGAAGATGAAGCAGGTGAGTGGTGGGTGGGTGTGGGAAGATGGGAGGAGTGGGTTGGGTTGGGAGGGAGCATAGGCACTGCGCATTGGGCACTGGGCACTACACCAGTCGCAGGTGATGCGAGATGCGTACAGGGAGGGGCGCGAAGTGCTACCCAAGATGAAGCAGGTCAGTGGTGTGTCAGAGGGAGTAGTGAGCAGGTGCGAGGGACCGATGAGGTTTCGGGAAAGGCACTGACAAACGCAGTGAGGGAACCTGGCGACTGTGAACGCCCTTCTTGCACATGCATGCATACATGCATACATGCATGCATACATGCATACATCCGTACATGCATGCGTGCATGCATACATCTGTACATCCATACATGCATACATGCATACATGCATACATGCATACATGCATACATGCATACATGCATACATCCATACATGTATTCACACACCCATTTCCTCTGCCCCTCCCCCCTCACCCTGCCCAGTACACCAAGTTCATGCGGCTGGAAAAGGTAGTTTCAGACACAATGAAGAAGGCCCTGGCGGATTTATCGACACTTCCCCTTTCTTTCCCTTTCGGGCCTTGCCTCTGCCCTCTTCTGTGTTCCCCCCTACCGCCTGTCACCCCCCTGCCCTACCCAGTACACCAAGTTCATGCGGCTGGAAAAGGCAGTTTCAGACGCAATGAAGAAGGCCCTGGCGGATCTGGACAAAGGGGAGGCGCAGGGCAGCGGGAGAGGCGCAGCAGCTCAACCGGGCGTGCTGGGCGGAGGAGTGAGGATGGGCTTTCAGGGCGCAGGGGAGGAAAGGGATGAGGAGGAAGAAGAGGAGGCAGGGTTGCCGCGGCAGATAATGGTGCATCCTGAGGCTGTGGTGGATTATGCCAACAAGGTGGCACCGCTCTTTGGCTTCCCCCCTTCCAAGTGAGCATGCAGTGGGATAGGGGTAGGCTTTGTTCCGTTGCAAGTTGGTAGTAGGGGGGTGTGCTTGTTGATGCAAGGCGCTCAAGGAGGGTTGTCGCAGCACGGCAGATAATGGTGCATCCTGAGGCGGTGGTGGATTATGCCAACAAGGTGGCACCGCTCTTTGGCTTCCCCCCTTCCAAGTGAGCATGCAGTGGGGGTTGTGATTTGCTTAATTGCGAGTTGATAGTAGTGGGGGTGTGCTTGCTGTTATGAGGCGTTTAAAGGGTTGCTGTGGCAGCTTAGATCAGATCATGGTGCATTTTGAGGCGGTGGTGCAGTATGCCAACATGGTGGCACCGCTGTGTTTGAGATTGATTTTGAGAATTCTCAAAATCAATCTCAAACATTATGCCAACAAGGTGGCACCGCTGATTGGCTTCCCTCCCTCCAGGTGAGTATGCGGTGGGGTGGTGGGAGCTAACCTGACAGCATCCAATCCCTCACACTCCCCGTTTCCCACCTTTGAGTCGACTCAAAAGACACCTCGTTACCATGGCACATGACACAAAAGTCACCTTTTGAGTCGAATCAAAAGTCCCCTCCAGGTGAGCATGCGGTGGGGTGGTGGGAGCTAACCTGACAGCATCCAATCCCTCACCTTCGTTTGGGTGGCCGGCCTGATGCATCGCTGGGGCTTCATGAACCACCGGCCGTGTGATAAAAGAGATGTTTTGAGACGTCTCAAAACATCTCTTTATCATTTGGTGGCCGGTCTGATGCATCGCTGGGGCTTCATGAACCACCGGCCGTGCGGGCGTGTGTCTGTCCGGTGGAGGAAACATTGCAAGACTTCCATACCAGAATCTGACAGAATCCACTCCCTTCAACCTTTCCTAACCCCTCTATACCCCCCACAGTTCAATCACCTTCGCGTGGGTGGCGGGTCTCATGCATCGCTGGGGCTTCATGAATGGACCACTGGGCCGTAAAGGCGTCTCCCAGGTGGAGTAAGCACTGAGAGGCTCCCTCATTCTCCCCTACTCCTCTTCCCCTACCCCCACAGGTCGATCACCTTTGCGTGGGTGGCGGGTCTCATGCACCGGTGGGGATTCATGGACCACTGGCCTGTGAAGGCGTCTCCCAGGTGGAGTAAGCACTGAGAGGCTCCCTCATTCTTCCCTACTCCTCTTCCCTTACCCCCACAGGAGTATCACCTTTGCCTGGGTGGCGGGTCTCATGCACCGGTGGGGATTCATGGACCACTGGGCTGTAAAGGCGTCTCCCAGGTGGAAGAAATGGGCTCCTCTGTTTGAGGGTCAGGGGGATAAGGAGGGTGGGGATGGGGGAAGGAGTGGGGGAGAGGGGGGGCAGACTGGGGGGGAAGGGGGCGAAGGGGAGGGAGCAAGGGGGGAGGCAGGAGCGGGAGGAGGAGGAGGAGGAGGAGAAGGAGAAGGAGCAGGCGCGCCTGCTTCTGCTGCTGGTGGTACTGCTGCTGGCGCTGGCGCTGCCACTGCTGCTGGCGCTGCTGCTGCTGCTGCTGGCGCTGCTGCTGCTGCTGCTGGCGCTGCTGCTGCTGCTGCTGGCGCTGCTGCTGGTGCTGCTGGCGCTGCTGCTGGTGCTGCTCCTGCTTCTGCTGCCACTGGGGACGCTGCTGCTGCTGCAGCTGGTGACGCAGCAGCAGCAGCAGCAGCAGCAGCAGCAGCAGCAGCAGCAGCAGCAGGAGCAGGGGAGGCACTCGTGCCAGCAGAGCTGTCGTGGGACCTGTTCGACGAGGGCTTTAACCTAATACCAGGGGAGATCGAGGCGCTGGGGAAGGTAGCAGAAGAGTTGGAGCTGCAGCGGCAGCAGCGCTTTCGGGAGGTGGTGCTGGCTGGGGCGTTTAACAAGAGGAAGAAGAAGATGATGGAGATGCAGGAGAGAGCGGGAGGAGCGGGAGGAGGAGCGGGAGGAGGTGGGGAAAGGGCAGGAGCAGGAGGAGGAGAGGAAGGAGGAGAGGGAGGAGGAGAGGGAGGAGGAGGGGGAGGAGGAGGGGGAGGGGAAGGTGAGGGGGTTCGATTGGTTTGGGAGAGGGAGCGGGGCGAGGGAGGGGAGAGAGGGGAGGAAGGGGAAGGTGCAGGAGGCTTGGGAGCGAATGATTCTGATGATGATGGGGGTGGTGATGGTGGTGGTGGTGATAGTGATGATGATGGGGGTGGTTGTTTTGGCCTGAGTGTTGGGGCAGGGAGGGAGGGCGGGCTAGGGGAGGGAGAGAGAGCAGCAGCAGAAAGAGGGGTAGGGGGAGCAGCAGGGGGAGCGGCAGGGGCAGCTGCAGGGGGAGTGGCAGGGGGAGTGGCAGGAGGGAGTGTAGCAGCCTCGCTTCTAAACTCGCTCAACCTAGCCAACTTGCCTGGACCAATCCCAGCGTATCTTCAAGATATTGTTGCTGAGCTGGCAGGAATCCGGGTCGGCGGAGCCTCGGACGTTCTTCCGAACCTGCAGGCAGCGTGGGGAAACCTCGACAAGGCGTCTCCCGAGCCTGTTTCAACGGGTTTTGAAGTCGGTTCGGGCACGGGTTTGGATAAGGACAAGGGCAGGAAGAGGAAGAGGGGGGAAGGGGAGGGGGGAGAGGAGGGGAGAGGGGAGGAAGAGGAAGCAGATGGAGGAGAGGGAGAGGCGGGAGGGAGGGAGGAGAGGGATGCAGCAGTTGCAGCTGTTATGGCAGCCGGGAAGATCAAAACGCCTGAGGAGTTTTGGCGGTGGTGGCAGTTTTCAGGGCTTGTAGGGGTGAGAGGCATGCGGGACGCGTGGAGTGTGCTGGAAGATGCTTCTGTGGTTGCTGTAGAGGAGGAGGAAGAGGAGGAAGAAGAGGAAGAGGAGGTGGAGATGGAGGAGGTGGAGGAAGGGTATGAGGAGGAGGAAGAGGAGGTAGAGGGGGATGAGGAGGATGAGGTGGTGGAGGTGGAGGAGGAGGAGGAGGAGGAGGAGGATGCAGAGGTTGAAGAGTGGGGGGGTGGTGGAGGGAGGGGAGGGAAAGCGAGGGGAGGAGGGACAACAGGGGGCGAGACGGAGACAGGTGGGGAAACGGAGGGAGAAGCAGCAGAGTGGGGCGATCATACAAAAGAGGAGGCGAGGGAGAGGAGGAGGCAGCAAAGGAAGGAGAGGAAGGAAAGGAAGAAGAGGAAGAGGGAGAAGAAGAAGGAGAAAGAGAAGAAAAGGAAGAGGGAGAAGGGGAAGGAGAGGGAGAAGAGGGGAAAGAAGAAGGGAAAGGAGAAGATGGGTGTAAGGGGGGATGCGCTTGCAGCGTTCACCAGTATGCTGCAGCAGACGACTTTTGAGGCGCCTCAAAAGGCGTTCACCAGTATGCTGCAGCAGCAGGCACCAGGAGTAATGCCGATGCATCCTGCCTTCCCCCAATCCGCCTTCCCCAATCCGCCTTCCCCCAATCCTCCTTCCCTCAACCTCCTTTCCCTGCCGCCGCTGCTGCTGCTGCTGGTGCTGCCCCTGCCTCTGGTGCTCCCCAGGCCCAGGTGACCACGATCCAGTTTGGGGCGCAGCAGGAAACGCCGTTCGGCACACGCTTTGCCACAGTGACACAGCACACGTACAACAGTGCACCACCATCAACAGCATACCCGCAGCAGCAGCACATGAACACCAACAACAGCATTCAAGCTCAGCCACAGCAGCAGCAGGGTCTGATGGGTGGGCAGGCTCCTTTAGGGCTGCCCCCTCTCCTCGCACAGTTTTTGTTCCCAAACTCCCAAGTGCCACCCACCACTGGTGCCCCTCTGCCTGACCCTGGTTCTTCCAACGATCCTTTCAGCAGCACCGCTCTCTTTTCCCACCCTACCGCTCCGCACGCCACTGGTACCCGTCTCAGTCTCACTGAGATTGGTGACGCTACAGATCCTGCTGCTGCCACTGGTGCTCCTGCTATAGGTGCTGCTGCTGCTACAGGTGCTGCTCCTGCTACATGTGCTGCTGCTGCTACAGGTGCTGCTGCTGCTACAGGTGCTGCTGCTGCTACAGGTGCTGCTGCTGCTACAGGTGCTGCTGCTGGTACAGGTGCTGCTGCTGCTACAGGTGCTGCTGCTGCTACAGATGATGCTGCTGCCACAGGTGCTGCTTCTGCAGTAGCAGCAGGTGCAACTACTGCTACTGATACTGTCGCTGCTGCTTCTCCTGCTGCTACTACTGCTGCTGCCACTGCTGCTGCTGCCCCAGTCGCCCCTACTGCTCCTGCTCCTGCTCCTGCTCCTGCTCCTGCTCCTGCTCCTGCTCCTGCTCCTGCTCCTGCTCCTGCTCCCGCTCCTGCTCCTGCTCCCGCTCCTGCTCCTGCTCCCGCTCCCGCTCCTGCTCCTGTTCCTGCTCCTGCTCCTGCTTCTGTTCCTGCTCCTGCTTCTGTTCCTGCTCCTGCTCCTGTTCCTGCTCCTGCTCCTGTTCCTGCTCCTGCTCCTGCTGCTCCCGGTTCTGCTCCTGCTCCTCCTGCCGCTGCTTCTGCTTCTGCAGCCAAACAAACAGCAGCGAATCAAGCAGCAGCACTCTCTCCAGGAGCAGGAGAAAGAGATGCTGCAGCTCTCCTTACCCACCTTCTCACAACCCAACTCGCAGCCTCCTCGGGCCCCAATTCAGAATTGCTGTCCCTCGCATGCAACGTCACCCAGTCCTTTGGTCCCGATTTCGCACTCGCTCTGGGGTCACTGTTGGTGCAGCATCATCAGCAGCAGCAGCAGCAGCAGCAGCAGCAGCAACCGCAGCAGCAACAAACACAGCAGCAACCGCGCCCTACCGCTGCTGCCTCTTTTCTCCCTAACCTCTTGCAGCAGATCGCCTCGTTAACCTCACAGGCGACTGCTCATTCCCCTCAGCTGCAAAATCCCACTGCTGCTGCTGCTGCTGCTGCTGCGCTTCTACCAGCCCTGCTGCAGCAGATTGCTTCGGGGGCTAATCATTCCCAGCAGCAGCCAATGCAGCTCCCGCGCTCCACTGCTGCTGCGGCAGGTGGCCGTGCTGCTGCTGGTGCGTCTATGCCCACAAACTTATGGGAGCAGATTTCGGCTATGGCAGCTTCCCAGCTGCCACTGCAGCGCACTGGTGGCACTGCTGCTGGTAATTCTGCTGCTGCTGCTGCTGCTGCTGCTGGTAATTCTGCTGCAGGTGCTGGTGCTGCAGCCCTGCCGGGCCAACTGCAGCAGCTGATTGCCTCGCTCGCCACCCAGCCTACTCACTCCACGCGCGTGCAGCCTCCCCGCCCCTCTGCTGTTGCTCCTGCTTCTGCTCCTCTTGCTGCCACTGCTCGCCTCATTGCCGCAACTGCCACTGGTGCTCCTTCAGCCGCCCGCCCTTCACTTGCGCGGATTCCTGCTGCAGGGGGGTCTCATCACCCTTCCTATGCACCTTCTCCTCTCCTCTGCACCTCCACACCTCTCCCCACCTCACCTCCCTCCTCACCTCCCCATTCCTCTGCACCTCCCCGCTCCTCTGCACCTCCGCTCCCCTCCCGCAACTCCCTCCTAAGCTTCCTGCACGGGCCTAGAGGCCCTCTCTCAAACTTCTCTTCCAGAAACTCTTTTGCTGCTGGTGCTGGTACCGCTGCCACTGCCAATGCTGCCAGTCCTGCCACTCCTGCTGCTGCTACTGTTCGTCCTGCTCCTGCAGCCACTCCTGCTGCTGCTACTGTTCGTCCTGCTCCTGCAGCCACTCCTGCTGCTGCTGTTCGTTCTATTGCACCTTCTTCATTGGGTCATACCAGAGCCTTTCAGGAGAATCATTGGGAACCACCTTACGGTCTCAGGGTACTCCGGCGACGCCCTAACTACAACGCCCCTTCTTCTGCTGCTGCTGGTTCTGCTGCCGGTTCTGCTCCCCGCCTGCCAGCCAATCCGCCTTCCACTGATGCTGATCGATACACCCCAACTGCTAACCAATCCACTCTGCCTGCTGGCCGTCACTCTTTAACTGCTAGCCGGCACAATCTGCCTACTGACCCATACACTCCAAGTGCCAACCGGCACACTCTGCATGCTTCTCTGCTTGCATCAGCAGCAGGAGCACCAGGAGCAAGGGCAACAGGAATAGTAGCAGCAGAAGGGTTGCATTCCCCCTTGTCCCAGAGGTCTGGAGTGATTCTCGCCCTCCCAGCCGCATCGTCCCCCACCTTTGCCTTCCGTGCACCTGCTGCTGCACCCACCACTTCACCCACAGCTGCGCCCACTGCTGCGCCCACCGCTGCACCCACCGCTGCTCCTGCTCTTGTGATCAGTACTGCTCCTGCTCCCCAACCACTGTTCAGCTTCTCACTCCTGATGATACTGCTGCTACAGCTGCACCTACTGCTCTGCCCGCTGCTATAGCTGCGCTTGCTGCTACAGCTGTCTCTGCCCCTACAGCTGATCCTGCTGCTACAGCTGTGCCTGCTGCTACAGCTGTAGGTGTGTGGACACGCGCTGCTGCAGCAGCAACTGCGAGTGCTACTGCGGATGTTGACACACGTTCTGCTACAGCCGTGACTGGACGAACCCGTGCTGCTGTCAAGGCAGGATTTTGTGCTACAGCCGTGACTGGCCGAACCCGTGCTCCTTTGAAGGTTGGGTTCTATGCTACAGCTTTGACTGGAAAGGCGGGATTCCGTGCTACAGCCGTGACTGGACGAACACGTGCTGCCGTCAAGGCAGGATTTTACGCTACAGCTGTCACTGGAAAGGCTGGGTTTCGTGTTGCAGCCGTGACTGGACGAACCGGTGCTGCTGTGAAGACGGGATTTCATGGTACAGCATCAGTGGCAAGCACCCATGCTTTGCCTGCTGCTACAGCTGCTCCTACAGGTATTGCCACCAGAACCCGTGCTGCTGCTGCTGCTGCTGCGGCTGTTAGAGCTGCTATGGCTAGGAGGCACCGCACTGCCGCTGTTGCTGCCGCTGCTGCTTCTTCTGCTGCCGCTGCCGCTGCTGGGTTAAGTGTTGGTGATGGTGGTGGTGGTGGTGGTGGTGCCACTGCTCCTGCTGCTGGTGCTGCTGCTGAGCCGTCAGCAGTCAGGCAGGTGCCAGGCAGACGGCGGGAGGGGAGAGTAGCGATTGGTTACCACGGGAGAGTTCTGAGGAGCCAAAGTCTAAGTGTGGGTCAAAGCAAGCGGGAACGGCGTATGAGGGCGCTGCGCAGGGCGAGGAAGAAGGACGTGCAACCGCCATGGGCACACAGTATGATTGCGCAAAGCATTGCGGCACAAGCTGCGATGGCGCAGAGTGCTATAACGGAGAGTGCTATAGGGGAGAGTGCTATAGCGGAGATTCCAGTGGGGCAGGGTACGCAAGGAGAGGAGGAGCAGTCGCTCAGAGATGGAGGGGAGCAGGCCTTGAGATGCGGTGAAGAGGAATTGTCGGAAGGTCACAATAGCCCCTCAAATAGCCCCTCAGGTCAGCCCCATATCGCCACTGCCATACCCGAAAGCACCCCCTCAACACAGCCTCCTGCTCGTCCATCTACACAAGTTAGCCCCGATGGACCGCTGTCGCAGGATAGCCCTGCGACTCGCGCCGCAACGCGCCATGCGATGCCACTCACACCGTCCATGTGCACGCTGCTGGCACTTCAGCAGGACACCACGAGCTCGGCTGCTGCTTCTGCTGCTGGTGGTTCTGTTGCTGTGGCTGGTGCTGCTGCAGGGCCAAGTGCAACAGGTGGGTTGGGTGATCCGCCTGCCCCAAGCTCCATGTCAAAACTGCTGGCACTTCAGCAGGATACGACGAGCATGGCTGCTGCTGCTGGTGCTAGTGCTGCTTCTGTTGCTGCCACTGGTGCTGCTGCGGGGCCAAGTGGGGCACGTCCGTTGAGTGATCCTCCTGCCCCGAGCTCCATGTCAAAACTGCTGCTCGGACAGTTTGCGTCCTCATCTCCGCTTGGTCGATCTGCGGCTGCTGCTTCTGGTGCGGCTGGTGGTGATCTTGATGATGATGATGATGATGATGATGTCGTGGAAGTCGACGGCGGTGATAATAATGATGGTAATGTTTCTGCTGCTGCTGGTGGGTCCAAGGATGACGATGTGCTAGTTGTAGCTGATTGATGTTAGCCATGCTTGCATCATGCCGGTTCCTTAGGGTGCTTTGTCTAGTGTGATAACTAAATTTTAATTAGTTTTTCTCTTCTGGGCTTTTAGGCTCCATTAGTGTAAATGTGCAACTAACGATAAGTTGTGAGGTGACTTGAATTTTGGTCTTCCGTCTCGAATTCTTTCTGAATGCTTTCTTCTGACTCTCTGGCGCTGGTTCACCCAAAGGTCACCCCCCTAAAAAACACCGCCTCGAAAACCCAATTTTTCTGAATATTCTCAAAATCCATTCACGGTTTCCATCGCATGGATGCCGTCGATCACATCAGCAGCAGTCCTCGAGTACCTTTCGATTAACCGTCGATTACATACACTACACAGGTCCCGAAAATGTTTCGACTTTCGCCTAGAGCGACGAAAATATCGATGTTTAGCACCTCACCCTGCGAATGATGAGGTTTGTTTTTCTGCGGCGAAGCAGGAGTTTATCTCTCCACCTTGGTGCTTCTTTACCGTCAACTTCATCCGCCTGTCATCAGAGAGGTCATGTCAACCGTCGATCTTCTTTTCCGTCTTGTGCGACGGAATTATGGAGAGATCAGTCAACCCTGCATCCGAAGGCAACTACTTTTCCTGCATTCTTGCTGAAGAGCTAGTATTCCATATGTGTCTCCAGTTCTGCCTGATAATGAGCCCAACGTAAGGTTTCTTCTCTATTTCTTGTTCCTCAGCTGCTTATCTCCCCTCTCAATGTTCCCGCCAAACCCATGGTTGTTTGAATCTTTCTCAAGTCGCTCCCAGTCAGCTGCAATTCTGACACAACGCCGAGCTTACCTTGATATATTAGAAGTGGCAAGCTCGTTCGTTTATTCTAGGCTCGTCGTCGTGATTCTAGTCGAGTCGTAGATTCAGTTATGTCGTAGGTCTAGGCTCGTCCCTATTTTAGCTAGGCTCGTCCTTATTGTAGTTAGGTTCGTTAGCATTTCAGGCTCGGTCGTGACATCGTCGTGATTTACATATCGTCGTGACAGCTTGCCGGAGTGCTATGGTTGCGTCTAAGTTGTTATACTCGTGAGAAGAGCCACGCGATTCATCGTAGTCCAGCAGCTACGATTGCGGAGCTGATGGGTGTTTTTTTCTCTCTCTCTTTATCTCCCTTGGTAGTCTCGTGACAACCTCATTTGACTGGCTTTCGTTCGCTTTAAGATGCGACAGCAGGAGCCATCAGGTTTCGATCAGAATGGTGGGTCTGGTGGAGGCGAAATGCAGACTGATCCTGCTGCGCCTTCGTCAGCCAATCAGCAGCAGCCAGCAGCCACGTCTGCAGCAGCGACAGGCTCGGCAGGGCGTTCCGAACCGCCGTCCGAACCTGTGGCTTCTGGATCCGAACCTCGTCCGTGGAAGCGGAAGAACAAACGAATCGTGGTGGACCAGAAAATTGAGCGGGAAATCTTGGCTCTCAAAAAAGCCCACCCCTTTCTCACCAGCGAGCAGATCGCACGTGCAGTCGCGAAGCACTTCGGAGTGACGCTGAGGGAGGCAAAGGTGGAGATGATTATCGTTCGCGCCAAAACCGACCCGTCCGATAAAAGCAAGTGGCACAATTTTTGGCGCAAGCGTTACGAGAACCCGGAAATGGAAGCAGATCTGCTGCAGTGGATACGCGAAAGGAGGCGCCGTGAGTCGCTGAAACCGCAGAATATTCTAAACCGAGTTAAGAGGTTCGTGACAATGAAAGAAATGGTGGATTATGCGATGGCTATAGGGCCTTCGTATGGCGTCCCGGCAGAGCATATTTACAGCACGGATTGGATGCTCCGGCTTTTAAAGGACCACGGGTTGAATTCGAGAGGGGAGGAGGTTAATCTGGCCGGAGGTGCAGGCTCGGGGACTGATGCCGGCCCTGATGGAGCAGGTTCGGGGGAAGAGGGTCCTGCTGGTGGTGGTGCTCAGGGTGGGGACTCAGGCTCGGGGCGTGTTCCTTGGAACGAGGTTCCGTTTGATATCCGGATTCGGTACGAGATTTCTGTGGTGAAACGTGCACGGCCTAACTTAGACAACAAGGTGGTTGCTGCAGCGATTACAGCTAAGTACGGAAACGAAACGGGGATGAACTTTCGGTCGCTGGACAGAATAAGTACGTTTTACGACAAGTGGTTCGGGATTGTTACCGCAGCGGTGCCAGATCCGAACCTGTTACGAATGGAGGAGGCATTGGCTGAGTGGGTGATTAAAGAAGAGGAGCGGGAGAAGAGGGAGGTGACTCGAGAGGAGATTATAGCGAAGGCGAAGGAGATAGGTCCGGGATATAATGTGCGGCCGGGTTTCAGGTATGGCAGGTCGTGGGCTACGAGGTTTATGAAAAGGTTCGGGCTGCTGCTGCTATCAGAGACTAGTAACGAGGATGCTGATAGCGAGGATGGGGGAGGCGCGCGAGGAGAGGGAGGAGCGGGAGAGGATGGGATGGAGAAAGGAGACGAAGAGGAGGGAGAGGTGGAGGGATGGGATGGTGGGTTGATCAGTTTTGTGAACATGCAGATTCGGACTGCTGAATGGGCTGCCTGGCAGGTGTTGCATAAGTCGGCAGGGGGTACAGCAGCGGGACGCTCAATATCGAGTACAGGGGTAGGAAGGGAAGGAGATGAAGGAGGTGAAGGAGTAGGAGGGGGCGTTGTGAGTATCCCTGAACCTGATCGAGGAAATGTAGGAGAAGGGGATTATTCAAGGGTAAATAACCCTTGGTGTGCGGATCCCTTGACTGAGTTACTAGAAGAAGAGGAGGGGGTGGATTTAGTTTACAGAACAGGGTCTGGGAGGGATGGAGGAGGGGCGTTGCACACAATTGGGTATGGAGATGGGGAGAGCGCAGGAGGGGCCTTGGGGGTAGAGGAACGGACGAGTAATGGTGATCCTGATAGTGGTGCTGATGACGATGATGATGCTCATGCTGATGATGATGATGACGATGATGCTGATTCTGATGCTGATGATGCCTGTGGTTTTAGCGGTGCTGGTGCTGCTGAGGGTGTTCATGCTGCTGTAGCTGCAGCAGGAATGAGGAAGAGAGGAAGCAAGCGGGTTAGGTGGGAGGACGATGCTGGTGACGATGGTGGTGGCGTTGGTGGTGGCGATGGTGGTGGCGATGGTGATGGTGGTGATGGTGTGAAGAAGCGAAGGCTTGGACAACTCACTTCCGGAACAGAGGCTGTTGCTCTAGGCACATGCGCTGCGTCCCCAGCCACGGGTGCAGCCACCCCAGCCATGGGTGTGGCCCCACCAGCCACAGGTGCAGCCACCCCAGCCATGGGTGTGGCCCCACCAGCCACAGGTGCAGCCACTCCAGCCATGGGTGTGGCCCCACCAGCCACGGGTGCAGCCCCCAGCACACCCACTGGCATCTCTTCCCGTTTGCCCATTGTCATCGGCCTTGCTGCTCCCAACCGCCCCGATACCCCCACCGCCCCCCACACCACCACCCTCCTCCACCTCCCCTCCCAAGCGCCGCCAGCCACAGGTGCAGCCCCCAGCACACCCACCGGCGTCTCTTCCCGCATGCCCATTGTCATCGGCCTTGCTTCTCCCAGTGATCCCAATACCCCCGCCGCCCGCCACACCACCACGCTCCTCCACCTCCCCTCCCAAGCCGCTCCGGCTTCCCGAACCACAGATCCTTTGCACTCCTTTCAGGGCCGCCTAGCCGCCCAAGCCGCCCAAGCCGTCCAAGCCCAAGCCGCCCGAGCCCAAGCTGTCCGAGCCGCCCAGACCACGCCTCCCCCACATCCCTCCAAAACGCCGCCCAAGGAGGGGAAGGAGCGTCGGCCCCGCCATTCCGTGCTGAACCCGGGGCAAAGGCGAGCCTTCTGCCTCGTGCAACGGGCCCTGCCGAACCTGCGCCAAGCCTACCTCGCCAGAGCTGCGCTGCCGGCTTGGGGCGTGCAGATATACAGCGCCACTATATCGTACATAGTAAGAGATAGGTGGTGGTGGATGACTATTCCCCGGGGGAAAGAGCAGGAGATGAGCAGAGTGCCGGGGAAGGCGTGGAGGAATATGGGGAAGAAGAAGAAGAGGAAGAGGAGGAGGAAGAAGAAGCGGGTGGTTGGAGCGGGGGTGGGGAGGTGGGCGAGGTTGGAAGAGGCGTTGGGGCGGTGGTTTGAGGAGATGGGGGCGGAGGAGTTGGTTTGCCGGGGGAGGATTAGAGAGCGGAGATTGGTGCTGGAGGAGCAGGGGGAGGATGGGGGGAAGGATGGGGGGAAGGCAGCTCAGAAGCGCCCGTTTCCTGTGTTTCTGACGCTGGAAATGGTTTCTGACATGGGGAGGAAGCTTGGGCCTGCTTTAGGCGTTTCGAGTAACTTTAAGTACGGAATTGGGTGGGCAGAAGCGGTGGTGGCGCGATATAGGGTGAAGAAGACCGGGGTTGTTGGGGGAATTGAGGGAGCAGGAGGAGAGGGGGCAGGGGGAGAGGGGGCAGGGGAAGGGGGACTGAGGTGGGAGAATGGAGAGGGAGGGGAGGGGGAGCGGGGGGGGGGGGAATGAGGAGGCGGAGGAGGAGGAGGAGGAGGAGGAGGACGAGTCAGATGGGGAGGAGGAGGATGATGGAAGCGACGAGGAAGAGGGAGAGGGGGATGAAGAGGGGGGCGAGCAGGAGGGAAACGAGGAAGGAGGGAACGAGGGGAACGAGGGGGAATGTTGGGATCCGGTTGTGTTGCAGAGGCGGTTCGAGGAGACCCTACGTTCAGCTGCATACAGCAGTCGAGAAGAGGACCCGTACGCTCTAGACCAGTGGGTGGATGATCCAGATGTATCAAGCCTTATGAGGGCAATTTTGGGGCCGGATTGGCTTAGTAAGTACCACGGCGGTGCCACTGGCTGCGGCATTTACCTCGATGCTGCTGGTGCCAGCAGTGCTGCCCCTGCCGCTGCTGCTGCTGCTGCTGCCACTGCTGGTGCTGCTGCTGGTTTCAGCAGTCCTGCTGCTGGTTTTGCTATGGGTGGGCATGGGCATGGCAGTGGGTTTGTCAGGGGGAGCCTGTCGTCCCTTGCGTCGCCTCTCATGCACTGCATGCCCCTCTCGGCAGTGCCCATGGTGCAGCAGATGCAGCAGAAGTATGCGCAGCAGCAGAAGCAGAAGCAGCAGCAGCTGCTGCAGGCACAGCAGCAGCAGCAGCAGCAGCAGCAGCCAGTCAATGCATCCCAGCAGTCACTAACCAGTCCATCACTTCAGCAGCAGAACAGTTCAAGCTCCATTCCCCTGCTGCGATTGCCTGACTTTCTCTGTACCCGTCCCACGTCCCAACCGGCATCTGCACAGCAAACACCTGAAACTGTACCAGCACCTGAAAGTGTCCCAGCACCTGAAACTGTCCCAGCACCTGAAAGTGTACCTGTACCTTTACCTGAAACCGCACCGACTCCTGAAACTGTACCAACACCTGGAACCGTACCTGTACCACCTGAAGCCTTACTAACACATGAAACTTTGTCAGAAGAACAAGAAGAACCTCCTTCCCCCACCTCCACCTCACCCGCCTCGCATCCCCCCGCCCTATCTATCGTCCTTGCCCTCCCCGCCGCAAATACCCCTGCCATTATCACCCCCGACAACCACTCCTCACCCCCCACGCACCCCTCTCAACCCAGCGAAACCACCCCAACTCCCGGTGTGCGCAAGCGGATACATGGCCCCCCCCTGCCCGTGCCGCTCCGCCGCTCCTTCCAAATGACCACGCACCAAAAGCGGGCGCTTTGCCTCGTCATACACTCCGTTCCGAACCTCTCCAGCTTGTTCCTTGCCAAGGCTCTGCTCCAGGCTTGGGGAACGCCCGTGTTCGAGTCCATGATTCGGAAAATCAGGCAGCACGGCGATTGGTGGATGAATATTCCAAGAGGGAAGGAGGAGGAGTTTAGAGTGAGAGGAAAGCGGTGGGATTGGAAGAAGAAGAAGTATTATGCGGTGGAGGGTGGTGTGGATGGGCGGGTGCAGTGTGTGAGGCTGGAAGCGGCGCTGTTGAAGTGGATTGAGGGGATAGGAGCGGGGGAGTTGGTGAGGAAAGGGAGGATAAAGGACGGGATTTTTGTGATGGAGGGGGAAGAGGGGGGTGGGGAAGAGGAGGCAGGGACGGGAGGAGGGGAGGGGGGAGGAGAGAGAGAGGGGGGAGGAAGGGGGAAGGTAGGAGAGGGAGAAGAAGTGGAAGCAATTGCACAGGGTGAGACACCAGTGAGCTTATCAGTGGAGGTTGTGACAGATGGGGCAGGAAAGAGGGTGGTGGGGGAGGATAAACTGAAAACCTCTGGGCGTTTAACGGTGCAGATGCTGCTGGATAGGGCAGAGATGATAGGGTGGAAACTAGATGCCCCCTCTGACTTTGAATACACAGAGGAATGGGTTCTGGGGGTTCTAGAGCGGTATAAAGGAGGGAAGAAGGCAGGGGGGGCGGGGAGTGAGGGTGATGGCGCCGGGACGGGGGGAGGAGGCCGGGAAGGGGAGGGAGGAAGGGAGGGGGGAGAGGAAGGGGAGGGGGTAAACAAGAAGTCTGACGGACATTCTGACCGACAGTGTGACCGACAGTCTAACAGACAGTCTGACCGACAGTCTGGTCGACGGTGTGACCCATACAACCTACAGAAGCGGTCAGCACCTTTGCTGGACCGCTTTCCACACGACCGGCAGTCAGACCCGTATGATTTGGAGAAGTGGGCAGACGATACGCATGTGAAATCGCTTATGCAGTCAATCTACGGGCTGAACTGGCTCCGTAAGTATGCGTACCTGCGCTCTGTCAGGGAGGCTTCTGCTGCTGCTGTTGCCGCTTCTGCTGCTCGGGCTGATGCTGCTGCTGGTGGTGCCGCTGGTGGTGCTGGTGCCGCTGGTGCTAGTCGTGGTGATGCTTATCCCGAACACACTGCAAGGCCGCCGGCCAAGCTCGCGCACACTGCTGGTGCTGCTGCTGCAGCTGGTAGTGGTGGTGCTGCTGCTGGTAGTGGTGGTGCTGCAGCAGGCAATGCTGCCCCGCTGCTGCCAACACCCTGGGCCAGTAAAGCCAAACTCCGGGCGTTTCAGGAGCAGGAGGAGTTGCAGAAGCAGCAGAGGTTTCAGGGGCAGCAGAGGTTTCACGGGCAGCAGAGGTTTCACGGGCAGCAGAGGTTTCACGGGCAGCAGACCCCATGGGGTGGCGATGATGAGCTCCCAGACAACCGCCCTGATTCTCCTGACTCCCTCAATGCTGTTGACTCTGTTGACTCTGCTGAAGCGCTTGACGCTCTTGAAGCTATTGACTCTCGCGGCTTCCCTTCCTTGCCGCTGCCGCCTCAAAGCAAGCCTCCTCCTCCTCCTCCTCTGCACATGTCTATGCAGCGCCAGCAAGGGGCATGGGGCAGGGATGGGTCCTGGCCTGGTGCCTTTGGCCGTACTTCTCCCATGACTGCTGTGAACGCCACAGCACAGCAGAGGGAGGGGTTTTCGGGCAAGGATGGTTCATGGGCAGCGGGTCTTCCTGCACCTCGTGCTACTGGCTTCTCTGGTTCTCAAGCCGCTGGTAATCTTAGGCTCCGTGTTCCCCCCGGTTTCCCTGGCTCCCGTGCTGCAGACCCTCTTGCCCCTCGTGCTGGCTTCCCTGGTGCACATGCAGCTGACCCTCTTGCTCCTCGTGCTCCTGAATTTCGAGGCACACGTACCGCTGCTGACCCTCTTGCTCCTCGTGCTCCTGTCATGGGTTCGGAGGAGTGGCAGCAGAGGCTGCAGGGGCAGCACAGGTCGACTTTTGAGTCGACTCAAAATTCAACAATTGACTCTCGTGCTGCTGTCATGGGCTCGGAGCACTGGCAGCAGAGGCTGCAGAGACCATTAGGCGGGGTTGGTTCTTGGGCAGGTGGTTTCACTGCCGCACCATCCCTTGGTAACGGTCTCAACCGCTCTCCACCCATGCCTGGACACGCTTTCTCTGGTCCCCAAGCAGCTGGTCTCACTCCCAATGCAGGCCCTGCTGGTCCCACCACGCGTGGCAAGCGCTTGCCAAAGTGTGCGGTGAGACAGGATCAGAGAGGAGGAGGTGGTGGTGGAGAGTGGATGGGAGGGCTGCCTGGCGGCACTGGTGCTTTTCCTTACTCCTCTCGGAACGCATCTGGGTACTTGTATGAGCGGGGAGAGAGGGCATTTGGTGGTAGTGAGTGGGGGGAAGGAGCGGGAGGAGGGGGAGGAGCAGTGGGATGGGGAGGGGAAGGAGGAGGGGAAGATAGAGGACCTGAGTATGGGGTTAGAGGATTGGGTAATGAGAAAAGGCAGGGAAAGAAGAGGAGGGTGGTAGAGGAGGAGAGAGTGAGAGAGGAGAGATTGGGGAGGAAGGAGATGGTGAGAGAGGAGATGGCACGAGAGGAGAGGGTGAGAGAGAAGGTGAGAAGGTCAGAGGGCGGTCGAAGTCTGGAAACATCTCAGTCGAAAAAAGCACTTCAAAAGAAGGGAAGGAGCGGGGCAAAGACGGGTATTGATTCAGCTGGTACACAGGCTTTTGAGACGCCTCAAAAGCAGGCTGAAAAGCGGTCTAAGAAACGAAACGCTTCCTTTCACACTGCATGGGCCATGCTGGTTGGTGGGGGCGCTGCTGGGGAGACGAAAAAAAATGCTGAGGGTGGAGTTGAGACGACTGGAAACACCATGCAGGCTGGTGGGGATGCAGGAGGGGAGACGGATGGTGTGGGGAGAGAAACAGGGGGACAGGCTGGAGGGGATGGGGGCGAGATGGGCGGCAGTGACGGGGAGCGGGGCGGCGGTGACGAGGATAGGGGCGGCGGTAGCAGGGAGAGGGGCGGCAGTGACGGGGAGAGGGGCGGCAGTGACGGGGAGAGGGGCGGCAGTGACGGGGAGAGGGGCGGCAGTGACGGGGAGAGGGGCGGCATTGGAAGGGAGAGGGGCGGCAGTGACGGGGAGAGGGGCGGCATTGGAAGGGAGAGGGGCGGCGGTGACCCTGTCTTGATGACTCACAATGGCGGGGAAAATGGAAATGAAGGGGAGAGAGGCGGTGGGGAAGGGGAGGGTGATTGTGGGAGAGGGGACAAGGATGGTGGGAGAAAGGAGCGTAGCCGTGCGGGAGGGGAAATTGATAGCAGGGGAGGGGATAAAGATGCAACTGGGGGTTTAAAGAGTGGGAAGAGGAATGGGGGAGAACGGGGTGGTAATAGGCAGGACAACGGCGGGAATGGGCAGGAGAGCGGTGGGAATGGGCAGGAGAGCGGTGAGAATGGGCAGGAGAGCGGTGAGAATGGGCGGGAGAGCGGTGGGAATGGGCGGTCGAGGGGTGGGAAGGTAGAGGTGAATGAGATATTGGTGAAGGAAGAGGATTTGAGTGGTGGTTCTAGCAAGAGGAGTGAGAGTGAGAGTGAGGAGAATTCTAGAGAAAAAGTGGAGGTGAGGAGAAGGAGAGTGAGAGGCAGGAAGAAGAAAGGAAAGAAGGGCGCGAGTGAGAGTGAGGAGGATTCAGATGATGAGGAGTTAAGAAGAGGGGGGAGAAAGGGGAGGAGGCGAGGGAAGAGAAGAGGAAAGAGGAAAGGTAGCAAGGGTGAGGGTGAGGATGAGAGCGGGAGTGAGAGTGAGGAGGATTCAGAGGATGTATTGGAGGCGAAGAGAGGAGAGAGAGGAGGGAAAGGAGGGAGGAGGAAGGATAGGAAGGGCGAGAGTGAGAGTGAGAGTGGGAATGAGGGTGAGAGTGAGAGCGGGAGTGAGGATGATTCAGAAGATGTAGTGGAGGTGAGACAAAGAGTGAGGAGACAAGGGAGTAGGAAAGGAAGAAAGGGGAGGAAGAGGGATGGGAAGAGAGGAGGGAAGAAGAGGCGGAGAGCGCGGGAGAGAGGGAGAGACGATAGGCGAAGGGGAAGGAAAGGGAGAACCAGAAACTCAAGTGATGAGGATGGTGATGGTGATAGTGATGACGGCGATAGTGATAGTGATGACGGCAGTGCTAGTGAGAGTGATGATAGTGAAAGTGGAAGCGATGATAGTGATAGTTCTAGTGACGATAGTGATAGCAGTGAGAGTTACAATACTGATTCAAACAAAGAGGAGGAGGAGGGAGAGGTGGATGATGATAGAAAAAGGAGGAGGAAGTATCCCGGACAAGGCAGCAGCACAGGAGTAGCAGCATCCTCTGCAGTGGTCGAGGCTCTGGTGGCGCAGGCAGCAGCGCAGGCTGCATCTGGGGCAGGCTTACCTCTTCCAACCTCAGTCACACCTGAAAAGGCTGCTGCTGCTCTCGCTGCTGCCATTGCGGCTGCCACTGCAGTCGCGAGTGGTGGGATCAGTGCTCCTGCTCCCGGTGTTGTTGGTACTCCTGCTTCTGGAGTGGTTTCAACCGGTGCTGCTGGGTTGGGAGGTGCCGGTCTAGGCCAGTTCCTGAGTGCACTAAGTGCTGGTGGAGCGCTTAACGCTGGTGGGATGCTAAGTGCTGGTGGAACATCAAATGCTGGAGGAGGAAGAAACAAGGGTGCTGCTGGTACTGGTGCTTCTAATGCAGTGGGTGATCGATTAGCCACCCAGGTAGGCCAGTTTTTGCTGCAGCCACAGCAGCGACAACAACAACAGCAATTCTTGCGGCAGCGGCAGCAGCAGCAGCAATTCCCTCAGCAGCAAGAGCAGCAGAATCAGCGAGTTTCTTCTGGTGTCCGAGCGTCACTGGGGCAGAATTTTGGGTCGACTCAGAGGTCTGTCCGAGTGTCACTGGAGCAGCAGCTGAAGCAATTGCAGCTGGAGCAGGCACAGCAAAGGCAGCATGTGCAACAGTTGCAATGGCAGCTGCGGCAGCTAGAGAGGGAGGAGGAGCAGTTCATGTACCCAACCCAGCAGCAGCAGTGGCAGCGGCAGCGCCTGGAGCAGCAGTTGGAGCAGGCGCAGCGGTTTGCAGTGCAGCAGGAGACGCAGATACAGCAAATCAAGAGGCAGTTAGGGTGATAGGCAGCAGATTCAGCAAGGCCCTTCTGGTGTCCGAGCGTCACTTGAGCAGCAGCTGAAGCGGAGAATCAAGAGGCAGTTAGGGCGATAGCAGCAGGCGCTGTGGCTTGCAGCACAGCCAGAGGAGCAAATATCGGTACAGTGAATGAGCAGACAAGTGGAGTAATACCGTAGCAGCAGGTGCAACTACAGAAAATGCCTGCACTGTTCCTGACGTATAACTTTTCAGTCTACTCAAATGTCAAATGTCACCTTGTACAGTACAACTTGTACAGTACAAGGTTTTCCCTGCAGCGAATGCGGTCCCCTCAAACAGCAGGTTCAAGTAGTGTTGGGCCTGCAGGGGAAGTCGGGCTTGTATGGAAGAGCAAGTTATACAATTTGGTTATGTTATGATACAGTGCATTGTGTCATACGGTAATATTACAGCTTAATAGCAGTTACAATAGCTGCACTCACTTTGAATTTATTTGACGTCTCTTACATGCATCAATCACACACCACAAAACAAATATGGTACGGTATGGTATCTGCAAGCAAGTACGGTACCATGTTAGCTGAACGGATAGAATGTTTAACACATTCAGTGATAAGTGTGTGTCCTGTGTGCCTTGTATCTAAACCGCCGCCCCACCATCTGAAGCCCCACCATCAACTGTGCAGCGTGCAGCACCATCGCCTGCAGCACCGCCGTCTGTAGCACCGCCGTCTGTAGCACCATCAGCAGTGCCATCACCTCTAGCGCCATCACCTGTAGCGCCATCACCTGTAGCCACATGGCCTGTAGCGCCATTGCCTGTAGCCCCATCGCCTGTAGCGCCTACTACACCTCCATCCACAGCACTGGCACTTTTCACCCCATCTTCTGTGGCACCGTTGTCTGTAGCACCAGCGCCTGTAGCACCAGCGCCTATAGCGCCGTCAGATGTAGCCCCAGCAGTCTCAGTGCCATCGGCTGTAGCCCCATCATCTCTACCACCATCACCTGTAGCGTCGTCAGCCATATCAACATCATCTGTAGCGCCATCTGCTGTAGCCCCATCTGCTGTAGCCGCATCGGCTGTAGCCCCATCGGCTGTAGCCCCATCGGCTGTAGCTCCAGCATCAATTTTACCACCATGACCTCTTCGCTCCCCATCATCACCTGCTGCTGCATCATCTCCTTCTCCATCCACATCCACATCAACATCAACATCAATTGAGTCCTTTGCCTCACCATGCTGAGGTGCAACATCATTCGTACCATCATCTCCTCTTGCCTCCCCATCATCACCTGCTGCAGTATCATCTCCTCCATCCACACCCACATCCACATCCACATCCGCATCCACATCCGTTGCGTCCTTTGCCTCGTGCTCATTGCCTCCCACATGCATCGGCGCAATCGCTTTTGACTCCCCATCGTCTGTAGCACCACCACCTGTAGCAACAACTGTAGCACCACCACCACCTGCATCACCATCCCCTGTAGCACCATCACCTGTAGCACCAGCAACAGCACCCCCACCACCTGCATCACCACCATCTGTAGCACCATCGCCCGTAGCACCACATGCATCATCATTGTCAGCATCTGGACTGGTTCTAGCCCTTTTCCTCCCCTGTGGGCACTCCTTTGGACTAGCCATGTTCTTTGCCGCAACAGTGGCGTCTCCTCCTGCCTCATCATCAGCTGTCGTTGCTGTGGCATCTTCAGCCTCGTTGGTTGTAGGTGCTGCTGTGCCATTCCCTGTCTCACCAGCTGTAGCTACTGTGAGATCCCCTGCCTTACTGCCTGTAGCGGTACCTCCATCCACTTCCATATCATCCGTGACTGTTGCTCTAGGCACCTGTCGTTCCATCTTTTCTTGTGTATCCTCACCAGATGTAGCGGCTATAGCCACTACCTCATTGGCTGTAGCGGCTACAGCCATTACCTCATCGGCTGTAGCAGCTACAGCATTAGCCTCAGTTGTCGCATCCACATTTTCACAAGCTGTAGCAGCTACAGGTGTGTCAGAATCCTTTCCTTCAAGGAGCTTGCCAATGGTGGCGTCCACGGCATCAATTTCAGCACCTGTGATCTCAGCCTCTGGTGAATCAGGTGGTGCGGCTGTAGCTGCTACAGATGCGGCTGTAGCACCTGTGATCTCAGCCTCTGAATCACGTGGTGTGGCTGTAGCTGCTACAGATGCGGCTGTAGCTGCTACAGATGTGGCTGTAGCACCTGTGATCTCAGCCTCTGGTGAATCAGGTGGTGCGGCTGTAGCACCTGTGATCTCAGCCTCTGAATCACGTGGTGTGGCTGTAGCTGCTACAGATGCGGCTGTAGCTGCTACAGATGCGGCTGTAGCACCTGTGATCTCAGCCTCTGGTGAATCAGGTGGTGCGGCTGTAGCTGCTACAGATGCGGCTGTAGCACCTCTGATCTCAGCCTCTGGTGAATCAGGTGGTGCGGCTGTAGCACCTGTGATCTCAGCCTCTGGTGAATCAGGTGATGCGGCTGTAGCTGCTACAGATGCGGCTGTAGCACCTGTGATCTCAGCCTCTGGTGAATCAGGTGGTGCGGCTGTAGCTGCTGTGGTTTCAGCCTCAGGCGACTCAGGAGGTGCAGCTGTGGCAGGTGCAGCTGTGGCAGGTGCAGCTGTGGCAGGTGCAGCTGTTGCAGCAGCAGCAGTGGCAGGTGCATCTATTGCAGGTACATCTGTTGCAGGTGCATCTGTTGCAGGTGCATCTGTTGCAGGTGCATCTATTGCAGGTGCATCTGTTGCAGGTGCATCTGTGGCAGGAGCAGTTGTGGCAGGTGCATCAGCGTCAGCAGGAATGACGGTAGCAGCATCAGAGTCAGCAGGAGTAGTGGAATTTTGAGGCGCCTCAAAAGGAGCAGCTGTGGCAGGTGCGTCAGCGTCAGCAGGAGCGACAGTGGCAGCACCAGAGTCAGCAGTGGTGGTAGGAGCATCAGCATCAGCAGGAGCAGTGGTGGCAGCACCAGCACCAGCAGTAGTAGCAGCTGCAGGGAGATCAATGGTAGCAGCACCAGGGAGAGCAGTGGCAGCAGTACCAGGGGCGGTAGCAGCAGGAGTAGAGGTAGCGGCAGCAGAAGAGGCTGCAGCAGCAGGTGGGGCACTTTGCTGCTGCTGCTGCTGTGCCTGTTGCTGCTGCTGCTGCTGCTGCTGCTGCTGCTGCTGCTGCTGCTGCTGCTGCTGCTGCTGCTGCTGCTGCTGCTGCTGCTGCTGCTGCTGCTGCTGCGCCTGTTGTTGATCCTCGATCTGCTTCTTCAGCAGCTGCATCTCACTCTGCTGCTGCCAAGCAAACCGCTGTGCCTGCTGCAACTGGTTCTCTAGGTGCTGTTTCTGCCACTGCTGCTGGGGAGATGGTGCCTTGAACTGCTGGTGCTGCAGCTGGTGCTGCAGCTGACCTATGAGCTGCAGCTGCTGCTTGTGCATCTTCTCTAGCTGCTGCAGAAGGGAAGCTCTATACCCAGAACCACCTGTCTGCTGCTGCTGCTGCTGCTGCTGCTGCTGCTGTTGCTTCTGCTTCTGCTTTCGTTGCTGCTTCTGTCCCTTCTGCTTCTGCTGTTCCTGCTGCTGCTGTTGTTGCTGTTGCTGCTGCTGCTGCTGCTGCTGCTGCCACTGCCCCTGCTGCTGCACTTGCTGCACGAAACGGTCCCAATTGGCAGCACCAGCAGCCCGACCAGCAGCCGAAATCGCATTACCACCCCCACCGATCTGAGCCCCAGCAGCAGCAGCAGTGGCGGCAGCAGCAAAGGCAGCAGCAGGAGACGCCACAGCAGCAGCAGCAGGAGCAGAGGGAAAACCAGGAGCAGGAGCGGGAGCAGCAGCAGGAGCATTTCTGAAGCCGGAATAGAACTGGGGAGGATAATACGGGGAGAAGTATGGCTGCCCTAAAGCAGCATTGCCTGGTCCGTGGGCGTTAAACAGTCCACTAGTACCAGCACTACCCACTCCACCAGCATTTACCATCCCAACAGCATTCCGCATCACACCAGCATTTATAGCACCCAGTAACTGCCCAAAACCAGCACCTCCCATTGCAGCAGCACCACCAGCCAACCCGCCACCAGACCCACCACCGATCCCTCCCCTAGTAGCACCCCCCCACCCAGCACCCCCACTCCCACGGGCACCAGCAGCAGCAGTAGCGTTGTAAGCAGCAACATTGGGGGAGTCACCACGGGCAACGGAAGCAGCAGCTGCAATGGCGGCAGCAAGAGCAGCAGCAGCCCGTTCCTGCGTGACTGAGGCGGGAAGAGGTAAGCCCGCCCCAGATGCAGCCTGCGCCACCAGAGCCAGTGACTGGCTCGGATTCAGTGGGTTGCTCCGATTGCTCGGATGGCTCGGAATGCTTGAAATGCCACCAGCTCCAGTTGATCCTGCTGCACCTGTGCTGCTTCTCCTGAGGTTCCTCCGTACATGCAGGATCCCACCCCGCCCCTGGGAGTTATCCTGCTCCCCCTCCTCGTCCTCCTCATCCCGATAATCCCCATCCTCATCCCCATCCACATCCTCGTTATCATCAGACTCATTATCCTCGTCGTCATCATCACTCGAGCTGTCCTTCCGTGATCGCCGGCCCTTTCCACGACGATACCTCCTTTTCTCCTTTTTCTTCTCCTTCTCCTTCTCCTTCTCCCGCTGTCGCTTCTTGCCGCTGCTTCTACCACCACCCTTCGCACCTTTCCCCCATCCACCCCCCCTCACCTCCACCACATCATCATCTGATCCCTTCTCCTCCTCTTTGTCATCATCTGAGAGCTCAATCACTTCTGCCGCCCGCTTTCTGCCGCCCACTTCCCTCACACTCCGTCCTTCACCCCTCCTCTTCCCCTCTCCATCCCCACTCTCACCACCTGATCCCGCACCCACCAGCACATGCCACGCACTCTCAAACGACGCACGCCGCCCGCCTGCCTCCGACCCATACTTGTCTCCCTTTGTCCTGTGCCTTTCCCCCTTTTCCCCATGTCTTTCACTTATCGAATCCCTCCAGTCACTCCCACCCCGTCTCTCCGCTCGTCTCCGAGCCTTCTCCTCTGCTCTCCTTCTCTTCTTCTCTCTCTTCCGCTCCTTCTCCCGCGCCTTCCTCTCCCTCCTCCCCTCTCGTTCACTAACCACTCCCCCAGCTCCCCATCCCAAATCTCCTCCTGCTCCTGCTCCAGCTCCAGCTCCTACCCCTCCTGCTCCTCCAAAACCTAAACCCACACTCCCTCCCAAACCCCCTCCCACACCCCCTTCCACACCCCCCTCCACGCCCCCTCCGGCACCTCCTCCTGCGGCCTGTGCGGCCAAGAGAGTGAGCAGCAGCAGCATCTGCTGCTGCTGGTTACCATCTCCTGATCCTTGAATAGCCCCTGCACTCGCGTTCACCAGGGCCCCCAGATTGCCTGCACTGGCCAATGCACCACCGCTTGCACCAGCACCACCAGCAGCGTTACCGAACCCACCAAAACCACCACCCAGAGCACCGGCTATACCACCAACACCAGCACCACCACCAGCGCCCAGTGCTGCTGCAAGCAGTGCCGCAGCTGCAGCAGCCGCCCCTCCTGCAGCCGGCCCAACACCAGGTGCAGCAGCAGCAGCAGCAGGTGACGTGGCAGCAGCAGGTTGTGTTTGAGAAGCGAAGCCATACGTGTGGGAGTGGGGTGAATGGCCGGTGTGCTGTGGGGTTGCACGCAACTGGTGTGGGCCGGGCAGGTTGAGCTGCTGGAAATTGAGTGGTGATCCTGCTGTGTACCAGTCCCCTGCTGTGCCCCCTGCAGTGCCCCCTGCTGTGCCCCCTGGTGTGCCAGTCACACCTGCTTTGCCTGCTATACCTTTGACACCTGCCGTGCCTGCTATACCCGCTCCTCCTCCTCCTCCTCCTCCTCCTCCTCCTCCTCCTCCTCCTCCTCCTCCTCCTCCTCCTCCTCCTCCTCCTCCTCCTCCTCCTCCTCCTCCTCCTCCTCCTCCTCCTCCTCCTCCTCCTCCTCCTCCTCCTCCTCCTCCTCCTCCTCCTCCTCCTCCTCCTCCTCCTCCTCCTCCTCCTCCTACTCCTCTTGCTGTTCTTGCGAAAGCCTGGCTCCTTGTGACTCGAGCACCAGCAGCGACAGCTGTCCATGAATCCCCATGCGGTTCATAACGGTACATAACGGTACGGCCACCGGCCGCACCAGCCAGAGAACTGCTGAACCCAGCAGCAGCAGTAGCAGCGCCTGTAGCAACCGCACGGCGATGGCGGGGAGGGCGGCAGTCGGCAACAGCAGCATCAGCAGTCAAGCTGCCGTTGTTCTCATACGCAATGCCGCCTCTTCGGGTGCACTGTGTGAGCCAGTCTGGCCCGAGCACGCACCGCATGAGGCTGGAAAGGTCCGGATCGTCCGCCCACTTGTGCAGCGCATACCGGTGCGGGTCCTGATCAGCCCCGGCACAAGGAGCGGCGGCAGTAGCAGCAGCAGCAGCAGCAGCAGCAGCAGCAGCAGCAACTTGTATGTCTCCCGAAGGTGTGGCGATTTTCCCCCGTTTCCCACCCCTTGCATGCTCCGAGTTCTGCGCTGCTGTCTCCCCGCTCCGCCCTCTCTTCTTCCCCCCTTCACCTCCTCCTCCCACCTCCACCACATCATCATCCTCACTTGAACCCTCGTTACTCTCATCCTCTTCCTCCCCCTCATCACTCTCCTCATCACTCTCCCCATCACCATACGACTCCTCGTCTGACCAATCCCCATCCACTCCCTCCTCATCCTCCCCACCCTCCACCCTATCCCCATCCACCCCTTCCGCTCGCCCCTCCCCCTCACTCCTCGCCTTTGCCTGGAACCGCGCTATAACCCTCCGCACCCAGTTCTCCGCGTACTTGAATCCAGGAGGAGCGTCTAAAGTCGGTCCTAGCTCCTTCGCCATGCCTCTGATCATCTCCAGCGTCAGAAAAACAGGGGCGGACAATTGAGGGTTTTGAGGGAACTCAGACGAGCAATGCCGCCTCCTTCTCCCATCTCCGCTCTTCCCGCCTGTCCCACCCCTACCCCGCACCCCCACTTCCATCACCAACATCCGATCCTTTACCCTTCCTTTCGTCACCAACTCCGCTGCTCCTATCCCCTCTATCCACTTCCATAACGCCTCTTCCAGCTTCGCGCACTGCCCTGTGCCCTTCTCTTTCCTACTCCTCCTCTTTTTCCTTGGTTTATTCTTCATTTCTTCCTCCTTCCCCCGTGGAATCTTCAGCCACCACCAGCTGTCCCTCACCACATACTTTACAGTATCAAACGACACGCGCGCTCCCCAAGCCGGCAGCGCAGCCTTGGCGAGCTCGTGGATGTTGGTTCGGCGCAGGTACGGCAGGGCGTGGCGCACGAGGCAGAAGGCGCGCTTCTGACCCACCGTCAGCTCCCTGACCGTGCAACGCTTCGAATCATCGGAATAGGGGGGGATAGGAGCCTTTTCTGTGGTTTCGGCAGCCCATGCGGCTTGGGAGGAATTGGGGGGGTTCGAGGCTTGAGAAGCCAGGGCAGCTTGGGAAGAGGTGGGAAGGGTTGTGGTGGGGGTATCGGGATCGTTGGCGGCAGCAAGGGCGAGAACAATGGGTATGGGGGAAGAGACGCCAGTGGGCGTGCTGTGAGCATTACAACCACCCTTGTCTGTATCGGACCCTGCTGCGCGTGCACCATCAGAGTGGCCTAGACCTCCCTCCTCGGATGCATCATCCCCATCCAGTACGACGAGCGCCACTGGGCCTCGTTCTGCTTCTTCTCCTTCACTGTTGTCCTCATCCAGTGCTTCCCCCTCCGCTGTGAGGATGATGACAGCACCAGCTTCTGTGGCTGCACTGTGTGGCGCACTGTGTTCCGCAATGTGTGCCGCATGCCTTTGTTTCTCCACACCACCACCCTCACCACCACCATCCCCATCACCATCCCCATCACCACCACCAGCAGCAGCACCAGCAGCAGCACCAGCAGCAGCAGCAGCAGCACCATCACCATCACCACCACCATCCCCATCACCACCACCAGCAGCAGCACCAGCAGCAGCACCAGCAGCAGCAGCAGCACCATCACCATCAGCACCACCACCCGCACCACCATCACCAACCCAATCACTACTGCCATCGCCATCACCACCATTATCACCATCCGCATCAGCCCCCTCAGTCCCTTCAACCCCCCCAAAACCACCCTCCCGACTTTCCCTTTCTCCCACATCCCTCTCCCCGGTTCCCCTCTCCTCGTCTCCCGCCCCCTGCTGCTCGTCCACCCACCTAACCCGCTTGGTTCCTCTCTTTTTCATTCCTTCTGCACCTGCAGCATCACCAGGACTGCCATCACCATGAGCAGCAGCGGCAGCAACACCACCAACACCAGCATCAACATCAGCATCAGTGTCAACAGCAGTAGCAGAAGCAGCAACAGCAGCACCATCGGCATTAGTAGCAGCTAAGTCAGAAGCTTGCCTCACAACCTCTGGCCCCTCTCCTCCTGCTCTCTCCTCTCCTCCTGCTCCCTCCTCCGCCCTCCCACTCTCTGTTCCCTCACCTCCTCCCTTCTTCCCCGTCACCCCTTCGTCTCTTCCCCTTGCACCATCACCATCTGTGCCGATTCCATCTACCCCTGCTTCTTCAAACAGCTCATTCAAAATATCCGCAGACCAAGGGCTATTTACCCTTGGAGAAGCCCCTTCTCCTGCATCCCCTTGATCAGGCTCAGGGCTACTCACACCACCTCCCGCTTCCCCTTCCCCTTCCCCTTCGCTTTCCCTCTCCCTTTCCCCTTCCCCGTCTTTTCCCTCCCCCTCCCCGCCTCCGCCCCCTTCTCCTTTGCCCCCTCCATCTCCTCCCCCCCCATCTCTTCCCATACCCCGTCCCGCCACTGTACCCGCGCCTCCTGCCCCTGCCGACTCACATAACACCTGCCTGGCAGCACGATTTGCTGTTCGCATCTGCAGATTTACGAAACTAACTAATCCACCATCCCTCTCCTCCCCTGCGCCGCCATCCCCCTCTTCCTCCCCCGCCTCCTCCTCGCCTCCCCACTCCTCTCCTTCCCTGTCCTCATCCCCCTGCCCTTCCTCCTCTCCCCCAGACTCCCTATCAACTCCTTGCCTTCCTCCCTCGCTGGCCTGATACCTCCCTGCCTGGCCTCCTCCTCCACCTCCTCCTCCTCCCCCTCCCCCTCCACCTCCTCCTCCTCCCCCTCGCCCCCCGAATTCTCTCTCAAACCAGTCATCATAACCATCATCGCCTCCCTCTCCTCCCGCTCCTCTCGCCCCTCCCTCATCCTCGTTATCAGCATCCTTGGTACTAGTCTCCGACAGCAGCAGCAACCCGAACCTCTTCATAAACCTCGTAGCCCATGACCTGCCATACTTGAAATTCGGCCGCACCTTATACCCCGGCCCAATCTCCTTTGCCTTCGCTATAATCTCCTCTATAGTCACCTCCCTCTTCTCCGTCTCCTCCTCTTTAATCACCCACTCCGCTAAAGCCTCCTCCATTCGTGATTGGTCAGGATCTGAGACCACTCCTGCAGCCAGCCTAAACCACTTATCACTCTCCTCCCCGATCTTCCTTATTGCCCTCGGGGTCATTTCCACTCCGTACTTAGCCCTGATAGCAGCAGCAATCACTCTGTTCTCTAAGTGCGGCCGAGCGCGCTTAACCACAGCAATCTCGTACCGAAGCTGGAGCTCAAACGGGATCTCGTTCCGAACCAAAGGACGCTTCGGCTTAGGCTTCTCCGAGCCTGGCTTCTCCGAGCCTGGTTTCTCCGAGCCTGGGCTCCCGCCTCCGTCCAACCCGTTAGCACCACCTTCCCCGAAACCTGCTCCACTGCCCCCACCGTCATTATTCCCCGAACCTTCACCTCCTGCCCTACTAATCTCCTCTCCTTTCTTATTCAACCCGTTTTCTTCTAGAACCTTCTTAATCCAATCATCGCTGTACTTAAACACATCAGGCACGCCATGCGACGGTCCTAACTTCATCGCATAATCCCGCATCTCCTTGACCGTAAGCTGCTTTTTAACCCCTTTAATTACTCTCATCGGATCGCGTTCCTCCTCGCGCTTCCTCTCGCGCACCCATTTTACCAGCGCCTTCTCCAGCGGCGGGTTCTTATAACGCGTACGCCGCCACCTCGTCCAGTCGCTCTGCACGCTCCGGTCTACAGTGGACCTCAGTATAATCATCTCCACCTGCGACTCTTTCACTGGAACGCCGTACAGCTTAGTAACCGCGCGCGCGATGTGCGCGCTGGTGAGCACGGGGTGAGCCTGCTTCAGAGCGACTATTTCCTGTTGCAGTTTCTGATCTATCACATTCCGGTGGTGTGGCTTCTTTGCTCCCCGAGGCTTGGATGCCGAGCCAGCTGCAGGTTCAGTCGCTGAGCCGATTGTTGGTTCGGACGCTGGGCCACCTGCAGGTCCGGATTGCGGCTCAGGAGGATCTTCCGAGCTGGTTGCCGCTGCTGCTGATGTGGAACCTGGCTGCTGCTGCTGCTGCTGCTGCTGCTGCTGCTGCTGCTGCTGCTGCTGCTGCTGCTGCTGCTGCTGCTGCTGCTGCTGCTGCTGCTGCTGCTGAGCAGGTGAACGAGAGGGACTGGCTTGAGACGGATCAGTCTGCTCCTGTGGAGAACGGGCTTCTTCCTGCCTGCCTGCTGCCTGCATTCCCTCTCCTCCCGCCTCGCCATCACCGCTGGAGTCTGAAATCGTCGTCGCCTCGCGCATCTCGAGAGTAATGTAGTACTTTTTTCTTCTTCTTCTTTCCTGAAACAGCCTGTTCTCGTTTCTTTGCGAAGGCCCGACGATTGGCGGTATCGCACAGTCGGCACTATCGCACGGTCGGCGCTACTGCAAGGCCGCCACGACGGTAACTGCACTCCGAAGGGAAGCAAATCTGGTCGTTTGACGGTGGTCACTACTACCATACAAAGTGTACAAATTTTAGCTTCTATGAACCGGGGAAATGGGATTCAAGTGTTAACGCGATGTGGCGAACATACAAAGTCTACAATCGCCAACATTCACGCTTGCCGAACTCCAAAAGCGTGCCTCGCTTCCTGAATAATCGTACCCAAGCACGCTCTTTCGTTACCCTCTTGTTTAGTGGACTCACAACTCGCTTACTGAAGAACCGTAAGCAAGCGGCTCTTCAGACGGCCCAACGCCGCCATTTACGTTACTAAGGCGCCAACTGCGAGTTCCAAAAATATTCAACAGCCGCGGGTGCCGCAATTTTTCCAATCACACTGCAAAAAAGTGGTGTCGAAAATGCTGGTCGGCGACTTGAGGATTATTCAAACAAAATCTCCAGCGGTGGCCTACGTGGAACTGAAACACTAAGCTCGGCTTTCAATGTTCGCCTGAATGTCTGTGTGTCCCTCTGAGCAGGAATGCTGGCTATTGTTGCTTGCTGTACAACAGAACGTTTGTGGCAAATCTGCTGGTACATTCTTCCTGCTTGCGATACCTTCATCAAGCGATAATCTCAAGGTGAGGCAACAAGAAACCCTCGTTCCAAACACAGCTAAACGAATCGACAGTCAGGATGGCTTGATTCCGATCTGAAACGACATTCACAGCCAGTAGATTGCTTTGCTGTGATTGAAGTTGACGCAATTCCCAGACGATCCCGAAAAACGACGAGACTATGTGGAAGGGGCGGAAGCATCTGGAAATGCAATCGCCTGGTCAGAAATCAAACCCCACACCATTCCTGTGGATAAAGAGGCGAATGTAGTGTATACGTGGATCTCATTTGCAGTTTCTACAGTTCTAAGTGGGATGATCAAAATCTAAAACAAAAACAAAAACACAGCATACACACATACACACACACACACACACACACACACACACACACACACACACACACACACACACACACACACACACACACACACACACACACACACATACACGTGCGGAGAGACACTCTACAACGGTAGTGAGCTAGACGACGGAGGCCGGCACGAACTACTAGGAGTGATCGTGGTTTTGCTTAGTTCCTTGGTGCTTGCACATTCACAGGAGAAATCGGCAAGAGTTTACACTAGGAAAGTTGGAATTATAAAATGATTGAACAAGCAATGACAGAATGACTACATGAGGCACCTAGCAACCCTGCAGCTAGCCTAATCGACCGCCAGAACAGCTCGGTCGATTGTCTGCCAGCGTTGCGTAGAGGAGTCGCGCCAGCACTGCAGAAGGGTGACCTGCCAGCAGAGCAGGTCGACGGCGTGCCAACGCTACAGCAGAGCGGCTGTCCAGCGTTGCCCCGTAGAACACAGCAGTGCGCACGCTCGCAGGTGCGCGCAGATGTTTGGCCCGACTTGCCTCGTTGGGCATCCGTCAGCTGTTGTCTGCGCCTAACGAGTCACATAAACGTCGAGATACCAGCCCGCAATCGTCTTCGCCATCGCGACCTCGACGACGTTCGCGTGCCTCCGTCGAACTCGTCGAGCGGATTACCCAGTCAACCTTGTCGACCACCAGGTGCTTCCGGTCGACCACCACTGCCTCTGGTCGACCACAAAGTCCCTCTAGTCGACCAACAGGTGCCCCTGGTCGACCACAACTCCCGTCAAGCTACCCCCTAGTCGACGGACCCCTTCCGTCGACCAGAACTGTCAGCGTTTGTCGTCGAGCTCCCCTCGTCGACCGCTGCTCACTTGTCAGGTCGACGAACTGCTCCGTCGACCTCCAGGACGAACTGCAGGTCGACGGACTGCTCCCGGACGAGCTGCAGGTCGACGGAGACCCCCCCTGGCCGAGCTGCAGGTCGACGGAGGCCTCCCGGTCGAATTGCCCCTCCTGGTTGACGGCCCACCCGTTGCCCAGACCAGTCAGTTACAGTTGTCGAGCTCCCTGGTCGACAGCAGCACCACAGCGGTCCCCTGCTGCTCGACGAAGCCTGTTGAGCAGCTCTCCCACTATGAATGGTCGGTTGCTACTCCCGTACACCCGACCAAGTCGTCGGCGTTGCCCAAGCGAGGGCGGGGCCAACACTCCATTCCCGTTAACGCTCCCCTGCCGCGGTCACACTTGGGCCTCCAGCCCACACGACACTACTCCATGGAGAAAACTCGTCCACGGCGTGCACCCCACACACAGCACGCCGTCACCGCACCAGCCGTGCAGAAGGGCACGGCACATACTACTGCACCTCGTCGTCGCCGCCGCCGACGGTAGCCAGACGAACTTGGCCGATGGCGACAGAGCACCGGTTGAAAGCCGGAAAATGCAGCGCCTTCGTCAGGAAGTCCGCTGGCTGCTTGGTGGTCGGGATGTACTTCAGCACGAACTTCCCGCGCCTCACCATGTGTTGCAGCCAGGCGACCATGCCTGCTGACCACCACCCTTTCGCTCTCGACAGCTCCTGAGCATCAGTTGCACCACCGGCGAGCAGCACCTCGAGATGACCATAAAGGTGAGCAGGTGAGTAGAACGAAACTCCCCGCGCAGCTCGACATCCTTCTCGGGCGGAATGGGCACGGTGCCGTCGGCGAAGCCCTTCAGCCTGGCGACCTCCAGCTAATGTTCGATCGACTCCCTTCAGGTGATGAGGTCCCTGTCGAAATATATTTGCCATCTTTTATAACCGCTTGTAGTTGTAGTGTAGTTATTGTGATTTGTAGGTGGTGCACCAACTTTGTTTCCTATGCTATATGTTTCTTGAAACCTATAGTGAAATTCATTCTCCCAATTTTCTCTCTTCCAACTCACTCGATACCTCGCCTAGGACAAACCTGCTCGACACTCTAGTTGGGCCTAGACTACTAAGCCTAGGCCCTAGCTTAATCTACTCGTTCGTTCACCTTGATCTCTCAACATGTTATCAGAGCGACGTTCGTTCTGGCCTCACGTTTCCGCTGCTACGATTTTCCGGTCGCGCGCCTAGGGCGCGTGACGAATTTTTCCTTGTCCCGCCCCCGGTTGGCGTGTGACGCCTTTTCTGCCCGTCGCGCGCCCCGTGGCACACGATGGTGCCCTGCTCGTCGTGCGCCCCGAGGCACACGATCGGGCCCTTTCTCTTATCTTACCCGTCGTGCACCCCGTGGCACTGGCACGCGATGGGCCTTTCCGCCCCTGCTCTCCCTGAAGCCGCCCCTGATCCATCTGCGCCGACACCGTTTAGCCGCTCTGCGGCTTTCTTCCCGCCCACCCCCCTCCTCCTTTGTCTCCCTGCAGCCGTGGGGAGGAGGGTATGGGGGTGGCGGGTGTTGGAGTGTTGGGTCAACTCTCTCCCTTCCCCTCCTCCTTCTTTCAGTCCCACCGCTGCAGCTGCCGCTGGGGGGGGAGGGTGTGAGGATGTGGGGGAGCAGGGGGAGTGGTACCGGGGTGGCGGGTGTGAGGCAACATGCAGCCGTCCCTCCACCTCTCCTCTCTTCCCCCCTTCTCTGCTGCTCCTGCAGCAGTGTGGGGGAGGGGAAGGAGGAGGGTGAGGAGATGGAGGGGGTAACTATTCAATGTTAGCCCGCCTGCAGTACCTGCTGTTGCTTGTTATTCTTTTGCATGCGTAACTACATTTCTACCTACAAGCATTATGGGGGCGTGTCGAAATATATTTGCCATCTTTTATAACTGCTTGTAGTTGTAGTGTAGTTATTGTGCTTTGTAGGTGGTGCACCAACTTTGTTTCCTATGCTATATGTTTCTTGAAACCTATAGTGAAATTCATTCTCCCAATTTTCTCTCTTCCAACTCACTCGATACCTCGCCTAGGACAAACCTGCTCGACACTCTAGTTGGGCCTAGGCTACTAAGCCTAGGCCCTAGCTTAATCTACTCGTTCGTTCACCTTGATCTCTCAACAGTCCCGTCGACCTTGCAGCGGTGCGACGGTGATCCGGTCCGGTGAGAACTTGAAGTAGCCATACGCCGGTGCAATTCCGCTCGCCGTCACATGCGTCGTCGCCGAGAGCCCTCCACCGCTTTGTAGAGGAGAGCGACGTCGAACATCGACGTCGGCACACGAGCTGCCTACA